AAACATGCAGGAAGGTGGAAGTGCAAGATCTGCCGAGACGCTGCCTTAAAACGCTACGAACTCATGAAACAACCTAATGAGTTGGTTTAGTAGTTTTGGAACGAATGCTCTGTGGCATCGCCAGAAATTTCTCGATTTCATTATTTTTGGATAAAATTCTTCGAAGCACCCTCTAAATCTTACTTGACAGCGCAAAGGTAATGGATAAGATTTTGCCAGGAGCGATAGTAATTTGGTCGAAATCATCAAGTTAGTTGAGTTAGTTGATGTGTGGCCGATTGAACTGAATGGCCGTAATAAGATGACCATGTTCACCACGATGTGGTCATGATTAAACCATCACATCATTCACTGATTTCGACCAAATACCTACCACTCCAGATTATTCGAAAGATACGCTTTTTATCCCTCGTAGTTTTGGTCCCAAGATCGTAGAATTGAGGCTGGGTTCAAGTATGATTATTACATACTTCAGACTGAGTGATGTTAGCCAGCTTATGACTTAACTAAGGCTTCAGTTCGGAAGAAGCCTGACCTAGCCAAAGAAGCATATGACATTTGTGTATAAGTCATCAGTATATCTCACGAATTGGCACAATTTGATCTACAGTCTGCCCAACGTCAAAGTTCTCAACTTTCAAAAAACACTTATTTTTTACTTAGTACTTTTTCATGAGACCCGTTATTTTTGTTCAAACGGAAGCAATTAGGACATTCGCAACATCTGCGTCGCACCTGCTTTTTCAGTTCATATCATAGTTACCATAATTAACTTGTAATAAAGCAGCAATTCCATATTAAAGTGATTTACTGTCACTCTTTCGAGTGCAAGCTAGATAATTAATATAAAGTCACGTTTCTTTTTCTATTTTTCTCCTCTTTACCCCTTCAATCTTGCATCTAAAGATCGCAACAACATCAGCCTCCACGGAGACCAAAACAAACTTCTTGACTGGGAAAATAGCTAGAGGAGGTAATGCCGAAATCTTATCCTGGCATTTAGTCTATAATTTTCCATATTAAGAAAATTATTTACAAACCGCGCAGACGACACCAACGTTCTGAATCTCAATGTGTGTCCTTGTCACTCTGACCATTTATCTTACGAAGTTCAGAAATTTTTGATCTCAAAATTTCAATTAATTACCGCGAGAAACATAGAGAGATTATAGAAAATATAGAAATATTACTTATATAGGAATAGAAGCCCAAAATTTTTTTCGTACACTGACTAAGCTCTATAAGTCTCAATTTTCAGTAGTAAGCAATGTACAAGTAATCTTACCTCCGCTTGTTTCTTTGATACAATTGATCACCTGATTTGCAATAAAAACCCTAATTTATTTTTTCCGTCAAATCTATTCTTATTTTGGCTCCCTACGTCAAATGGTAGGTCTTTACTTCATTTGAACTTTCATTACAAGCAATAACTGTGGCCTATTTGGTGATATAATAACGTAAAAGCCAGTTTTTATCTAAATTAATATATCATAAGTTCAGTCAAAAGTTATCTAAAAATTTGTATTTGGAGAGGATTTCGTAAAGTCAATTTTTACTATCTCAGTTTACGTACATGCCAGTGACGAACCTAGAATTAAGAAGTGGTATATCTAAGCAGTAAATCATGTAACTAAGTAACTTTTATTTATTTTTTTGAAATTTGAGGTGTTCAGAAACCCCAAAAGTCACAGTGGCTCTCCTTTTTGAACGATCAGAATTTGGAACAAAATTCATAAATTTCTCCAAAAATCTTCTCAAAAAACTCGAACACTCTACATAATGTTACATCCTTTCATTTCTGAAGGCTCTTGCCCTCCATTCAGGGCTCGGCACAAGGTGGCTTTTGGAAATTGACCCCAAACCTTAAACGTAAAAAATCTTCAAAAAACGAAACGTTGAAAAAATCAAAAACTTTACAGTGTGTTCTTTTCGACCTCAAACACGATACTCCCTTTGCTTTTTTGTACCAAACCCTTTTTGGATTTACCCCTATAACCCTGTACCCAAACCCTTTTTGTACTCTTTTTGTACTCCCTTTGCTTCTTGTTGCTTACAAGCCAACTGTGCAGAGCCCTGCCTCCAGATCCCCCCCCCCCCCCTACTCTCTAAAAAAACTTTTTTGGACCATTACCGATAGAGACGAATGTAATAACGATCCAACTGCAGGTCACTTCCTAGACGGTAGTACGTTCAATGCACTAGGCGAAAATTTCATTGTTCAAAATGGAAATAGTTTGAATGCTCTCACTCCTCCCTCCCCCCCCCCCCCCTCCAAGCTTAACGTTGAAAACTTGAAAAAAAATAAGATTGGCTACATTTTATCGTAAAATGTGCATAGTCGAAAAATTAATTTTGATCACTGCACGCTTTAGTCATTCTAGCCCGACTTTCATTTTCAGTCATTCTCGAACTAAAAATAACGATTTCCGGTTGTCAAAGTCAGGTTTGTGCATTATTGAATAAGAAATCTAATTCTAGCTGATGACGTAGAGACGTGACATTATTTTCTACTCGATCGTGTGTACTTTCTGTAAATCTTAAACTGCAAATAATTTCGTCATGAATATCACATCTGTGCATATTATAATGACTCCAATAAAAGAAATTTCACTTCTTATGTGCAGACTACCAAGTATTTATTCGTTCGACTATTTTTGGTGCAAGTCGCCGTTTACACCTGCTTTGTGAGCTTTTCTTAGTACCTACTTATTTTGAGGCTTCATAACAGGATTCAACTGTTTTGGTTCAGTTTTTAGAAAAGGGCAAAAAGCTGATGCGTATTGCTTAAATAAGCTAAGAACTACACCAAAGGAACACTAAAAGGTGTAGATGGAGTACAAATCTGTCACTCTAAATTGTCTGAGCAGAAATTAACGGCTGTCTATTTTAAATTTTGTAAGCAATCGTTTTCCTTGAAACTATTAGTTTGCAATCACTTAATTGCTCTTCCATTCTTCTTCCTCGATCCAAATTTGTGATGAGGAAGGCGTTAAAGAGTCAGAACAGTAGTCAAAAATGAGTGCATAGTTCTTCAGGGATTATATCACGTCACTTGTGAATTGAACTGAATAATTGAACTTTTGATTATAACCGCACATAAAAGCAAAATTTTTGTGCATTCTCTGCCCAATAATTCGACACTTTCTTTCGAGTATGAGCTAGTACATCCAACCATTCAGGAAAGTAAAAACCTTGAACTATCCTTGCATTACTACCGTTTGCTGAAGGTTTTACAGACAAGGTGAGGGTCATTTTTGCATAGTCTAATGTCCCTTCCACATACGTGGTAATGTTTCTAAGAATTTACTAGAATTCTCTATGGTTTTCTAGAGGAAATACAGAGTGCAACAAAATGTTTGAACCAGCATATCCTCAATTGTAGGTAAATAACTGACTAATCGCAATTGCAATGATAAAACAATGTTTGAAAGTTTACTCAATCTGATTGCGACATAGACTATCTGGTTACTGTAACAGTAGTACCCATACACAGTTCAGGTCAGGGGGGTATTACTTCTAAAATTTCTTGAGTTCAGGTTAAGTATAAAGTCTTCGAAGGCTGAAATTGGTTGTGCTGTTAGCGGAAAAGCTCTATGATATCTCGTAAATTTTTTTGGGCTTTATCTTAGTAGGAAAATTCTGGAGTCTCATCCCGTAAGCCAACTCAGTAGAAAAAGCTTTATGTTTAACTTATTCATCTTATTTATTTCTGACTGTTACTGTTAAACAAACATGTTACGTTTAGCTCGTAATTTGTGCTCTGTACTTTGTATGTCACACTCTTTGTATTTATTGTTAGAATAGATATTTTTATTTTGTTGTTTCTTGGAATACATACATGCAAGAAATAACCGAGTTAGATTGTAAGATCATAAATCTGTCCATTTCTTTACTTGTCGTTAGCAAATTTAGTATTTACCTTTTCACAGGCAGATTCTCTACTATTTTGAAACTGAAATAGCTAACGAATCAAATGCATGAAGCAAATGAGTCTTTCGAATAGTTTTCGATTAGCCACCAGTTCCTGTCCAAACACAAACATAAAAATAAAACTAAAGTAAAGAAAATTAAAGAAAATTAAAATAGGGAAAATTTATATTCTAGACCCCGTAGAACAAAATACTGCTTCAACGTTGTCCTTGAACAAAACTGTAGGTGTTTTACAATTAAATTTTCTATTTTTTCAAAGCCGTGCAAATACATCGAATTCAAGAAATATGTGTAGAAATATGTGTGTACAAATATCCTAAAACCCGTTATGGGATGGATTCACAATATTAGAAAAATTGCAGGATTTTTGGAAAAAGGCCTCGTTCGAAGAGAGCACGATGTTTTTGGATTTGCAAGATCTCAAAACTTATTTCGAGTACTCAGAATGCTTTGAGAACATTAAAATTTTGCATTATGATAAACTTTTCGACAATTCTTTGGTAAATCACGCCCCTTGAACAAAAACAAATCAAGCTGTCATGTAAACAGCTACAAATCTAAAAATACTTTTCAGTAAATTTTCTGATAGTGAAACAGACAGTCATATCACTCGGGACTTTGAACCTTAGCGCTTCGATTTTGTACCTCATGAATTTCATATGACAGCAGTACATACCATTTCTAAATTATTTATTCTTGAGCAATGTTATTGTACTTTGATTAGCTTTCACTGTCGCAATTTTGTCTATTCATTTTTCAGAAGTGTGCGCTAAGAAATAAAACTGCTGAGAGTTCAATTATTTGTTTCTGTATATTCAATACCCTCTTAAATAAGGTTCCCCTCTGACCACTCTTTCTGAAAAATGCTGCTCTTCGTACAGAATCTTTCTAGTATATATTTATAACAATCTCACTGCTAGTATGAATTCACATTTCACGCATTTTGTACATATGTTAATTTTTTGTGCTTTTCCATAATGAAAATTGTTGTTTGGTAATATCCATTTACCATTCCGTGCATTCCTTTCATTGATTTCGTGAATCCTACAGTATCCTTACTATAGCGACAGCTGAACCACGAATTCCAGGCGATCACATATATGACGCTGGTAGGCTACGCCCGTACTTTGGTTCTCTTCATCTTATTTGGTCTTTCAATGGCATTGCCGTTGTTGTGGTTGGACGCTGACACCAGAGTTCACCAAGAACCACGAATAGATGTGAGTTTGATTTTTTGTAAGGGTAATCCATTTGAAGGCAGTGCCCGGGTGAAAATGGCACTTAGACTTACCACTTGAATACTAATTAGGAAACCATGGCTAAGTTATTGCCTAAGCGGCAGATCATATGATTCACTTGTGGCCGAGGAAATTTACTAGAGACTTTAGCCCATACCATACCTTTTCATTGGGAGGCGTGCAAGTGTTACCCAGGCAGCCGCTGGTGCCGCAAGCCGCCAGAGCTGGCACCAGCGTCACGGCTGAGCTACCGTAAGCGTGCTCTCGTCGTCCGCAATCTCTCGCAGAGAGATTTTCGCAGCAGCCTCGCACCTCATCGCGCTGAGGTGCGAGAATTCCCTCAGAGGTCGAACTACTGCCACATATTATATATCGATCAACACATCGGAAAATTTGTAGTTCATTAGTAATATACATTACAAAAAGAATACAAAACAAAAAAGTTAAATAAATAAAAAACTACACAAAAAATTCACAAATGGAAATTACAATCAAATTTACAATTTTACATCCGCACTGCTGTCAAATGGTTTTCTCTGTGACAAATTTCGGCATTTTAATACAAAAACTATTAGGTTGTTGCAAAAGTTCTGTCGTTTCATTTTCAAAAATTTGTAATTTCGCCAGATTTTAACGGATTTGCTTGGGTATATTTTTATTAGAAAGAATAAAACTTCCGCTTTCAATCGCTGTTTTGAGGAGCTTCTGTTTCACACTGAGTGCAAAGATAAAAATGGAAAACTAAGACCATGTAAACTTTGACCATTTTAAGTTAGGTCACCAAAAATCTGGAATGCTGCAGAAAAATCTGAAATCCTCAGTACATATGTTTTTTGGCCTACCCTTTGCATCTGTGAAAAGTTTGCGCTGTTTGGACGTCTCTGTGAGAAATTATGATTTTCGCGAAAATTCACAAATTAATTGATTTTGGCGTTTTCCATAGTAAACTCGATATTCATAACTTCTCACAGAGACGTCCAAACAGCGCAAACTTTTCACAGATGCAAAGGGTAGGCCAAAAAACATATGTACTGAGGATTTCAGATTTTTCTGCAGCATTCCAGATTTTTGGTGAGCTAACTTAAAATGGTCAAAGCTTATATGGTCTTAGTTTTCCATTTTTATCTCCGCACCCAGTATGAAACAGAAGCTCCACGGAACAGCATTTGAAAGCGAAAGACTTAATCTTTTTAATAAAATTACAAGCAAGCAAATCCGCTGAAATTTCGCGGAGTTACAAACTTTTGAAAATGAAACGACAGAACTTTTGCAACAACCTAATATTTATAGAAGCTGTTGGTATGTAATTTCCTGTCTCATAGGCTTCTTTAAAGCTGCGCATCGCATCAATAATTTTATTTCGGCGCAACACATCCTTCTTTCGTAATGATATTTTTTATGAACTTATTCCACGATATTATGGTTTCAATTTAATTTTGTAATCATTCCATCAATTTAATTATTTAACTTTTTTGTTTGTTTATATTTTTTGTAATATTTATTACTAATAAACTACAAATTTTCTGCTGTGTTGATCGATATATAATATGTGGCAGTAGCTCGACCTCTGAGGGAATTCTCGCACCTCAGCGCGAGAGTTGTGAGGCTGCTGCGAAAATCTCTCAGCGAAAGATTGCGGACAACGAGAGCGCGCTTACGGTAGCTGCCGCAGCGTTGGTGCCAGTCCTGGCGGCTGGCTGCGGCACCAGGCGGCTGCCTGGGTAACACTTGCTATGCACCCCTTTTCATTTTTGAGGACGCCGACTGGGGTCAACGGCGCGGTCTGGGCGAGATTTCTAAGTTGAGTTTCTCGGCTACAAACAAATGATGTGAGCTACCACGTGAACAGTGGCTTGATCAAGACTCTGCAAAAAGTTTTTACATAAAATGAACCAGATTTATGATACTTTCATCATTGTAGAAGGCGGATGAAGAGCGAGTTAAAAAAAATTTTTTTTCATCTTATTGAAATTGTTGATTTTAGTATCTGCAAGATGTCGATCCCCTGACCCTGCTGAAACGAAACATCGCTATTGGCCGAGGAGATGGATTGAGGCCTGGCAAGTAGTTGATTGCACATCTATCCGTATTGTACCTAGAACATCCAACGAATATCAAAACGATACCAGTGTCTTAAATGGTGTTGTCCAAGGTAAAATAAACATTGTGCAATATCAAGTTGTCTCACAGTATATCCTGGTAAAATAACTTGTGTGTAATTGCACCAAAAACATACAGCAGTTCAATTTCAAAAGAAAGATGATTGCGTGCACTAAATTACTGTATGTCAATATTTTTGTAACCTACTATAGGAGTCCGTCGATAGATTATTACAGCATACAGCTTGATTTTTAATGAAATTAAAAAAGTTCACTGAAGTGAAAAGGTGAAGCCGGAACAGCCAGGGAGAAACAGAAGTGAAGCATGAGAATCATTTACTACAAGATGAAGATAAAGAAGACAGCATAAAAGTTCCAGATTTATATCAACAATGCATTTCTGAGAAACAGTTATATAAGAAAGTTAAAAATAATGCGGGCAGGCAAACTTCTACCGTAACCTGAGTGAGATGGGATGTTTCAAATCAAAGACGAAAACAGTGTATTAGATTAGTTGATAACATGGAAAAAATATTTTGGACACAAACGGCACCAGTTCACCATGTCTTTTTCGACTTAGCCATGTACTCCGCAAAATCGTCTGCACCACCATCGTCGATTGGATTGACCACAGTGCTTCCAGCCAGTAACTCATCGAAGGACACGAAGTGGAAAAAGTTCTTTGTCAATTGAGCTTGTTCCCTTTCCAACGAAACACTCTTTTCATCAGGTAGAATCCTAGAATTTGATGTTATAAATTTGAATGATAAGCTCCAAGTGAGTATCTCTAACTGTTAAGTGAATGAAAAGCTCATTTTGAAAATTCGCACAAAAATTCCTTCCCTGACAAAAGCTTAACGAATCATATTCATTTCATTGAAAATTAGAATTACACCCATACTTTATGATGGTTCTAAAACTTAGACTAAGGATACTTTCCAAAACATAACACAAGCACTATTAGAGTAGGCTTGTCTGAGAACATCTAGCAAGAAAGTAAAAGTGATAAGAACTTACACATACTGGTTTCGGGGCTAAGAACTAGGCCAGTATTGCGTCCTTCTTGGCGATCCCGGGTTCGGAACCTTTTTGATAATACCAAAATTTTATTGAAAATCATGTTTGTACAAAGATGACCAAATTTTAGAAAACATTTTGGTATTTTTATTGAAGATCGCTGATTTATTTTATAATTTCAAATCATTGGTTTTGGTGCATTACCTGCCAACAGCTACGCAATGATCGTCATTTATGAAGCTTTCTTCAAACAACCAGTTGGGCTGCTTCACACTATTCTCCGCCCAAGTCGTAGAGGTGATGAAACAGCCTGAAAAATTCCAAGGCGTGAAAATGAAAAAAGCGGTGGAACCTCTGGACATCTACTGTTTGAAAAATTTGGATTTTTTACCAGGTTTATGTTGTTCGTCGCTAGTGTGAAAATCGAGAGTACGCAAGTCGTTAACTAGCCCAGTACCGGTTGCTTTCAAGACTGATTCTTTGAGGCACCATATACGGTAGAACGCAGTCCATCTGAAACGTTTATGAGATTGATTGGGTACACAGTAATTATTGGTTAACACAGTTGATTACATTTCAAAAAAGACAAGTTCAAAGTGCAAAACAAAATCAAGTCCAAGTCTACTTATGAATTTTTCATAGGGGAAACTGCTGCGTTTAGTGTCGAACTGTTGAAAGAAAGGTGAGGACTAACCTGTCCTTCTCCGTCTTTTTGCTGCGCATCATCCGCAGCTCGCCCATAGTAAACAGTTTCGACATGCGCTCGATGTGCTCCAAAGCTGTATCAGCTCTATAGTCATCTATCCGCATCACATCAACACCTAGACAAAATTATTCGAATTCTTAAGTGAGCGACGAAAGTGGATGCCCCACCGATTTCCTCTTTTTCACTGCTTGCAAGCACTACGAGATCTCCTTGATGGGATACGTTGAAGTTCAAATGAGACCTTTCATTTATCAAATATGGTTTGCCTCTTTCTGTCTTAGCAATGTCAATTGCATGCCAAGGTAGAGAGCATGCGGTTCTAACAGCTTGTCTGAAAATAATGAGATAATTACTATTTAACATTGTAGAGAAATTTCTCCGAAAGGACGGGGAAAGGCAACAATAAAATTATAGAATGGAGGAATAGCATTATTAGAGCCCTACAAAAAAACATTTCGGGATGTCCGAACTTTTCATGGGCTCGTAACCGCAAATTTTCGAGAGAGTGAGCGTGGCGGCAGATACGCCGACAAAAAATCTTCCAAAGCTACATATTTCAATTTAAACAAAATCTTAAGCTTGCTCCAATCATTTACAAGCTAAATTTACTTGCATGTACTCATGACTCAAGTTAGTAACTTTCAAAAAATTAGCGACCATTCTTCGGAGTTAAAGGGGGTCCTCGTACCCTGTCTCCCCTCGTCGTCACCCAAAATTCTGTGAGAAAGGGGCGTAACGGCAGCCACACCCCGAAGAAAAGTTTTTTACAAGGCTAATGTGAATTTTTCAAATTGTTTCAGTCATTCACAAGCTATTAACAAGTCACTTGCATTTTTGTAACTAATTGAAGTAACTTCTTTCAGAATTTCGAGACCCATTCTCGGAGGGAAGAGGAGAGGGAGAGGCTTGATAGGCCACTGCTCTTTGATGACTACGATCAAGTTTTGATATATCAAAACTTGATCGTAGTCAAACAGTCGCAACCAAATGTAGATATGTGCTGCAAGAAAGAATGTAACCATTCTCCCTTGCCCCCCCCCCACTTCCCCTTCAGCTCTCATCCCCTCCTTTTTTCTCGAAAAAGGGTGTCAATAGATGTGACCGTTGCTTGAGTGACATCAGCTTCCCCTCCGCGCCTCCCCCCCCCCCTTCCCCGTCGCGCCCAATACTTGACGATACTGCCTATCTTTGCAAACGTACCTAATCAACAGCCGCCCCACCACACACGCCAGACTATCATCTCGAAATCGGAATCGTCGTTGCCGCTCGACATCTTCGCTCGGAAGGCATTGTAACGCTCGACGGAATAGAGACTCAAACGCTGAGCCTGCTTCGCACTAAATATCAGAAATGATACAGTTGCAAGTTCTGAATAACTGCCTTATCTGGATGATGGGATGTAATACACCAATGCCTGTGCATTACTTATTAAGAAGGTCCGCTCTTGAAAGTTGAGATTGCTTGGGATTTTATACAATTCTTCCTGTAAATTTGTAGTGTTGAGTCTTTTCTTTCGGATAGAATTCGTGCTGTGCTGTTCGATGTGTCTATCGCGATGAGGAAGCTTGTTTGACAGAACGCGCGGAATGTAGACGAACTGTTTGTGGATAAGAAAGTTTTATAATGGTCGTTCAATGCCATTGGACGAACCATTGGAGATGATAAAGATGAATACAGTCTAATAGAATAAACTCCTTGGAAACAGGGAGCGTGTGGACACGTAAGCTACAAAATAGTTCTGTCAGAGAAGTCTCTAGATTTGTGCCGTGAAGAATCCGACTTGACTTTGGATGGATGAGAGGTCACTCAAACTGGGACTGCGGATTAGAGCTCTGCAAGGTTCGACAGATTTGAACCAAAGACAACTGCGAAGAGCCGTCTTCGGATAGAACAGAATCAGTGAATAAGTGCAACCCGAATCGGTCTTCCTCGGTGTGGTAGAAGAGGTTATAGTTAGATCCTGATTGATTCCATGGGGAAAAGACCAGTTATATCAGGGGATACACTCTTTTGACGGATATGATCACTGAGTAATGTAGAATTAGTGCCTCTCAAACTGCTAGTACTATCATTGAGGCACTCAGTCTTCAGCTAGGTATAGGTGAATAAGAACAACTTAGTAGTTAATTTCTAGAACAAAAACAATCTACACTGAGATTTCAAAAGTGTAAACCTCTTAACTGCATCAAACAGTTTTTAGAAATTGATATTTTGCAGAATCACAAAAATTTAAGACAAAAAGAACGAAAATGACATTTGTAAATTAGTGTAAGCGTGAAGGATGCTGTAAACGTTGTGTTAAATAATACAATATTCCCTTTCTCTTAGTAAAAGAAGAATTTATCGATACTGTTGTTAACAGGTCGATTCCTCTCTTCGTGGTCTATACAGCACAAATCATTATAGTTAAGTAGTACTCCAATATTTTCCGGTAATGATGGGTTCTCTTCGATGTCGCATGGGGCCAAAGTCTATGTCAACATTTTCGAACGAATATCGAGGTGGGACCCTTCTTACTGGATGTGTTGGAAAGGGTGGGAAAGCAAACGATTTGAATCGGTACTTCTACAGTGGAAGGATCCGTTGCACAGCGTCTGCTTAACAACTGCTGAAATTCTTACTCCCTATATCAGGAGACTCCGGTGGTGATTAGCTCCGCAATGATTATCACACGCAAATGCAAATAGAACAAACGCATGCAAATATGTAGAGAATATGATGCGAATTTTTCGGGAAATAAAGATTTCTCTGGCTCTAAAAAGCAAACTTGAATGTTTGATTCGTCCTCTACATTTACACAAGGGATTTTCTCACAGCTAAAATTTATACACTTTTTGGAGTCGCCAGGAGGAGGGTACGACAACTGTGCCGATCTGAACAAAATCTTTTCGCACCTTTGCATCAAACTGCCTTTGTTAACGCCAAAAACTGAACTGATTCATTGGACTTCTTTATGATGAAAGTGAACACAATATCATTGTCAAGAGTAGTTTTTTTAATGAACTGATTCAGTTCACGTCCAACAAAGTGTTAGTCGCAATCTTTTCAGATCTTGTTGATGTTGGAGAAGGATTGACAGCTGTTAGGCTTCGTACTATCGCATTCTTACTTTGTGCGAAAATTCAGAAATTTTCCTTAGTAGGACATTCCGAGCATTCTCCAAACACTTGCCCTATTTTCGCGAAGGAACGATGGCCCGTTTCACCATGATTCCTTGCTCCAAGAGCTCTTCAGTAGACAGCCGCAGGCCAATGTCTGCTGAGTTCATTTCGGCAGCGACATGCACATTGGTAACGACGGTGGTATTTGAATTTTTCACTCGATTTTTAATAAATATTGGTTTATGTACAGTTACTTTTCAGTGAAGAGCTACGACACTGTCTCTTCACAGAAATTTGAGGTGTGCACAAATTCCTCTGCTTAATTATCATTTGGCCTGGTTTGCCTTTTATCCTCTGCACGAGGTAAGCCGTGGTACAGTAGGCCGTTGAGAGGCGTCAGCGAACACGTGGAGATCGTTTTCATAATATGTCTCTTCTGGAACATCCACTACAAATCGTGGACTTGACATAGCGGAAATTATCCAGGTGGACAGGATGTTTTCCCATAGTTTTTCCATTTCTGCTTTTCTGCAAAGATTTCATTGTTCCACGGTTAATTTTCTATGCATAAATACTGGAAAAAGATAATATTGTCACTTACAAGTTCCCAGGTAAGCGAAGAAGCTTCCTTACATCAAATATGGGATCTAATTCTCTCATTTCAATGTACTCGTTTAACTTATCCGTGTTACAAGCGAAAGTTCTGAGATTTATTCCGGATTTTCAAAAAATTTCTTTCGATTTTTTATTGGAGATGATGCCATCCTCGACACTTTTAGCCCCACAGAAAACGTTACCACCATAGGTATTTCGGTTTAGCCATCAAATAGGCCTTTTAATGTCGCCGAAGATGAGATTTTGCACAATCTAGTGCGGAGGATTATGCTGACGAGATTGAGCAGAAGAGTTGGCCTTTTGTGCAAAACTTTTAAGGATAACCTTGCCTTTCCTTTTGCCAAATTGTAAACGAATCTGGTCTTCAATTGTTTGTCGCCCTTCTTCATAAACATAATGAGTGATGGCATGGTTTGTGGTGCTCTTTATCTGGTATCATTTTATGCATGTTTCTTTCTTATTCGTCCTGAGCGTGGTATCTGTTCGGATATGATGAATTGTTGCTATTTTTTCAGCTGATTACATAGATTAGAATAAGCGAGCGAGTACCTGTCTGGTATGCAGGGTCCGTTTCGAAAGGAAGAAGAGACGTACCTTTTTCAATAAATGGTGTCGTTGATGCCAAGGCATTCTTCATCATCTTGTTCGTTGGTGTCATCGACTACCCCAATCAATTCCAGTTTCCATAAGAAACTAACAAATTCGCAGAGGTCCTTAAGATTTGTCGGATTTGCTATCTGATTGTCCTCTTTTCGATAGGCAAGAATGTGCGTTGATTGAGTTCGGTATTGATCTATTTTTAACGACCACGTCACCAACACTAGTGTTTGGGACGGTTTTTTTATCGTTTCACAGATGGGTTGAGCGAGGCAGAAGAGTTGTAGTTCTTCAACGAATTTCTTTCCAGACCAAATTTTGATGGTAACCTTGTAATCGTACATGGTGAGAGAGTTGGAAAGGGGATATGTGATGAATCTTCGTCTCGCTCGAAGACGCAGTACTGATCGATACATGCCTCTGCGGCCCCTTTGCTGCTGCTTTTACTGAAAGTTAGTCCTCCCTTTGCGCAAGAAGCAGAGGAGGCTGTCGCGTCGCTAGGTTGAGCCTTTTCAACGGATTGCATCGTAGGAGTTTCCGATGATATGGTCGTGGATGTATAATTAGAAGGAAATCCATAGTAAATCTTCGTGGTGGGGCCCCAGGCTTTGAGCGGTATTGCACCACGTTCTGAATCTACGTTGATGAGTAGTAGGGCGATTGGGTTGTCGTAAAGGCAAAAGAATCTTGCACGTTTTTTTTTGCATTTGTGTTTCTTGCATAACTGGGAGGTGCCGGTAGTGTCACTGCTAACAGGTTGTTTTGTTCCTTTGCGGTCAATGCACAAAAGTCTTCGTGGATCAGATAGTCCTTTAAAGTGACTGTCAAGTTTTCAACCAGGAGTAGAGTGTTATCAAATAGTTGCACTTGATTGAATGTCCCTACTCTTTTGATGGGACTACAACTTTCGTTGCGTTAAAACAGCAGACGAAACCTGGATGGTAGTCGAGAAGGTGACGTGGTAGCGCTTGTTTTCTCGATTTGGTCGTGATAGGGCCGGTATGAAATGAACACAACGATGTCCAGTCGGGGCAACTGCATTTTTTTTACCGCAGAGTGTTGTCTCGGAGTTCAATGTGCTGGAGTATGGCTTCTCGAAACGTATGTGTCCGATAGGACAGGAAACTGATAGTAGCAAAATCTCCTGTTACACCTTGCAACGGCAATGCCATCGGACCTGCAGTTAGTGGCATATAGGATGGGTTTGGGTGTGTTGAGTTCGTCTGGGCATCTGAGCGCGGATGAGGATGCAGTTCCTAAAACAGCAAAAAGGCAGAAGAGCATAGCTATGTAGACGTGAGCCTGTGCTCGTGATCGAGTAATCATCGGTGACGTGATGGCGGGGTGCATTCCTTGAGGAAGTCGTCTTAGTCCTGCTATGTGTCTGTGATTCGGTGTCCACCGGTATCTCCATCTCGTGTATCAACGAGTTGGGGCGAGTGATGATGCGTCGCAAGGGAGTTGTATTTGGGATGATCGCTGATACTCGTCCTGTTACCCGATCACTCTTCCCATTTTCCATTGTCCGCGATCCAATGTCAAATCTTGAATCAACGCGACTTCTCCGTACCTTGGATCCCTTTTGTATGTGATCTGGGAGCCGCATGTCCCGTTTTGTACTGTTCTCGTATAGTCGCAAGATATTCTGTGTTCCATCGAGTCTAAAACGTGGAGACTAAGTTAGATGTTCGATTCCAATCGGCGAGCAGAGTGTTTCTGATAGTCTAGAAAGGTGACCACTGGTCTTGTGATTTGGTTGGATAAAGACCACAGAGTCGAACATGCGAACGTAGAAAGTCGATTGGGCGCAGAGGCTGGAAGGAAATTTCGTTACTGTAGTATGTGAGTGGTCTCGTATTAACTATAGCTTCGGCTTCCTTTGCCAGAGTTCGGATTTCTTCAATGTCGAGTCGGCGATTGGCTATAGCGTGCCGGTATGATTTTTTGAAGATGTCCACCATTTTTCCGTAAACTCCACCTTGCCAAGGACTGAGGCTGGGTATGAATTTCATCTGTATTTGATAAAAGTCATCTGCGATGTGTTCGTCAATGTCGGGCACTGGCAGTGAAGAATAGCATCGGTTGATTGTCTTGAAGGTTTGTGCGTTGTCACACAGGATCCATCTTGGACACCCGATAATGGCGATGAAACGCCTCAACATGTGCATTACTGTGGCAGCTGTCATGTCTAGTATCATGTCCACGTAAACTGCTCGACAGTTTAGACAGGTGAGAAGTAACATCCAGTATTTTCCGTCAGTGTTGGCGTTGGTATACGGTAAGTCAAAGGACCAAAGATATCCATCCCGACGTTTTCGAAAGGGTATTGCGGAGGAGTTACTCTTCGTTCCGGATGTGCGGGAAAAGGAGGAAGAGTAAACGGTTTGGATGAAATCTCTTGCAGCAAAAGCATTCGTGATAACCCTTTTCACTGTTGCGCGTCCTTTTCCTTTGGGTACCCAAACTCTCTGTCTGAAAAGAGTGAGGGTGTGATTTACTCCGCTATGATTGTTCATCTCATGGACATGTAGTATGTAAAAAGTGGTTATTCGACTTTCACGAAGAAGGAAGACTGGTGTGATGGCCGATGATGGTGAGTTTGCATGCTCGATACGTCCATGAGATTTCCACAGCAACGTTTTTACACAAATGAAAAGTCAATATTGCTTCTTGGATTCGCTAGAAGGAGGATAAGATGATTGTGCCAGACGAAACAGTATGGTCTCGCCTCGCTTCGTTGGAGCAGTATGACCTTGGTAATACCGAAAAGTTCTGTTGCTTGTTTGATTCCTTTATGAGAAATTTGAACACAAGCATCATCGTTTGGAGTAACTTACAAGGAAACAATACTTGGTGTCCGTGGCCTTTTGAGATGAGATGCATACCATTAGACTCGTCTTGGAGCGCTGATTCCGAATCTGGCTTCCTTTTTTGCTAATCTTTTCTCGGAAAAAAAGTTATAAAGGATTTTTGCGCCAAAGGAAATGTGATCGAAATGCCAAAAGCGCCGCTAAGATGTGGTGTAGTGGCTAGTGCGATAGCCTCGAAAGTTAATGCAGGTTTAGGCTTGAGTCCTTTTGTGTTTTTCAGTTTTGTATTGCCTCAATCAAGCTTCTTCTCAAAAATTAGGCATCCTCGACCGTATTTCTTTAGGCGACCATTGACGCAAAAATCCTTCATAACTTCTTCTAAAAAAAAGATTAGTAGAAACGGAAGTCAGATTCGGAATTAGCGTCCCAAGACGAATGTGATGGTATACGTTTCATCTCAAAAGGCCACGGACACCAAGTATCGTTTCCTTGTTAGTCCAAGTACTGAATTTTTTCAAGTCTAAGAGTGGATTGATTTCCGCTTTGAGAAGCGCTTTGAGCTTAGGATGCTGAGAAAAATTCGCAACTGTTAAATGTTTTTCCAGTGCGTCCAGTTCTTGAATATTCTCAAGAGGCTCTTGTAGAATGTTGCGAGCATGTTCCGGCCATTTGTCTTGTTCTTCTCGAAGGAAGGAAGGTCCGAACCACCACAGGTCCTCTTTTATCAACTCTTCGATCGTACATCCTCGAATTCCCAAGTCAGCTGGGTTTACTTCAGTGGGTACGTGCAGGATCATCACGTCGGAAGTATTGTCAAGAATCATTTTACTCGATTTTTAACAAAAATCGGTAGATTTTTGCTGTTCTTCGTCTAGTACAAGGCTACAATACTGTCCGTCCATAGACACTTTTTGAAATGCGCAGGTTCGAGTCCTGACAGGGTCGACACTTGTTTGGGACGGACCGTTTGGTTGCGCAACGAGGAGTCGCGAGTAGACGTTTATTCGATAGATACCATGATGAACCCATGATGAGAAAACGGCAGCTTCTTGTATCGGGTGCCAGAGAAGAGCTCGTGAAAAGCGAGGAGAGCCCATTACAATTCTTCATGCTACAGTTAAGAGCTTGATAGACTTGATGCTACTGTTAGCTACTTGTAGAAGCACTGAGAGTTGGGTAATGCTTGCATATCAATAAGCGACAGCGTGGCAGTGCATTGACGAAGCACCAAGCAAAGCTATTAGCAAGATTGCGGGATGTACAGCTGATTCATATTATCTTCTTTTATGCAGTTACTAAAGAATTTTTTGAAAATTCTCATTCCTTCGTGCACATGAAAGCGCTTGACAGCATTTTCTATTTTATAAAAAGGCATACATTAGCTTACTTTGTACAGGTGCAATAGGCCTTGAATCTCAAGCCGTGAACATGGACGCATATAATAGTACGCTTACTTTTTTTGAGCCATGTAACAATTTGTAATGTGCGTACTCATTGTGTGACAGCCTGGCACTCAGCTCTCAACAACAACCTACGTTGCAAATTGTACTTCTCTAAGATGTCATATTGTGCTGAGGCCGGATTGATCCCCGGCCTCAGCACTCCGTTTTGATCTTTTGCGCGCCAAAGTGGGGTATTTCAGGGCGCCGGCGTCACACGAAGGGACAAATCGATGATAGCTATTGGTCGGATCTTTTGTATCTCATTTGTATGTCGGTTCTTTACTTTTGCCATACTTTTATCTGTTAGCCGGTTTAGTTGTTCTTGTTTTGATTTGCCTTCCTATACGTGTTGCTCTTTTGCCTCATTTTCGATACTCCGATTTTGATCCTCATATCCGAAGCTCATGATTCTCATTATATTCACTTAGTAGTTTTGTTTCGCGTGTGTTTTGTTAATTTTGTATTGAATAAATAGGGTTTAATTACCCAAGTTTGAGGTGTGTGTCCACGGCGGTGGCTATCCGCGACTACTTCAAGCCGATCTGTTATTCCTAGTTCTGTTATTCGTTCACAATTCATTCAGCGCTTCCGCCCCAAGCTCAGAAAGACCCGCGTGGCAACGAAGCTCTCAAACATCCGAAGCCCCAGTTCTACGCAGCCGGTGAAAGGTGGGATTCCAGTAATCCTTTCACTTTTCTTTTCTCTTCTTTCCGAGTTTTTTGGTCAATTTTGAGTACGGGGTCCCCCTCGCTCTCCCCCTTTAGTACCCGGGACCCAACTCAAAATTTTTCTGGTGCATCGGCCGTTCACGAAGTCCAGGCCGAACGAAATCGATAGGAGTAAACGAAGACGCCTCGAATAAACGAAGAAAGGATGGGGCCATCGTTAAAGCCGCACAAAACAAGGATTACGAAGTTGGGGAACACACTGGAGGAGCTGATAGAAAGCTCCCAACATATGGTAGCTTTCGAAATCCCCATCACGGAGAACGAAGAAGAGTCAATGGATCTCCTACGAACTAGGATAAAATCGATACAGCACCGCCACACCAACATCACCACAACCAAAGCAGCACTAGAGACAGCGGTCTCTAGTTATCAGGAAGCCTTCAACTCGTTGGACAACAACTCTCAGCAAGAAGAACGAACATCCCAAGAGACGTATGTTGACCGTGCTTGGGATTTAACAGCGACGGCACTCTCCCTTCTTAACAAACTGGACGAAAAGGAGACAGAACTTTCTTCCAGACTGGATAACTTCGCCCAAGCGGCAAGAAGAAGAGAGAGACAACTCGAAACCGTCAACACACCTCAGGCATCCAACGAGTCGTCAAGATGGACAACCCCGCCACCGTCCCAGCTGCAATCATTGCTGTCCAGGCTGCAACTTCCCAAGTTTAGCGGAAGACGCGAGGAATAGGGGTCCTTTTGGGCCATATTCCAAGTCACCGTGGACGAACAGCCAATCCCCACGATGATCAAATTCAACTACCTTCTCCAGTCGCTAGTAGGAGAGGCAAGGCAGACGGCAGCACAGTTTCAGGTGGTAGAAGCAAGCTATCAACTAGTCATAGAAGCTCTCAAAAAGAAGTATGGCGAAGACGCATCCATCATCGAAGACTTGTTGATGCAGCTCGAAACCACCAAGGCGGAGGGACTGTCCACTAAGCTACAGGCTAATCTACTAGAACGAATTACAGCCATCCTGACGCAACTAGCCGCGAAAGGCCAGGATGTCAATCAAAGACTAGTGCTCAACCTAGTCTTACGAAAATTCAGTGCCGAAATCCAAGCAAAGGCATTCGAAAGGCGAGAGAGGCTCACAGATTCGCAACAGTGGACGTGGTCAGTTCTCCAAAAGGACTTACAAGACATTATCACTACCAAAGAAAGGATAGAAAGGAGTCAAGAACTGATCACGAAGCCTCATACGCCACTCTCTCCCCTAAAGGGAGAAAGTCAGGAGAGACGCCCGATACCAGCCTGCATCTATTGCAAACGAAGTAATCATCGATCAGTGGAGTGCAGGACTGTTCCAATATCGGAGCGAGCAGCGTTCTTGGCGAGGAATCAGCTGTGCACAAATTGTGGAAGGCCGAACCACACTGCACAGAACTGTAGGAGTCAAGGATGCTTCAGATGTGGACTCAAGCACCATTCATCCACATGCCGAAGACTATTACCGCCGCCGAACCACGAACAATCCACAGGGACGACAACGAAACCCCAACAAATCAATCAGCCAGCTCGAATAGTTCCCACACCCAACGTTGCACGAATGCAGCAGAAAGGAACAACACAAGCCACACATAGGCAAACCAGACAAAACCTGGTCACTATAGAAGAAGATAGTGAACCAGAAAGGATGAGCGATTCCCAAGACGAGAGCAGAGTTAACCATGTAGGGGACAGCAATATCCAGAAAACAGGAGCACTCCTCTTAACAGGAACCGCCACCATACAAGGACCCACACAGTCCAGACAAGTCCAAGTACTCATGGACACAGGATCAGAGCTATCATTCATAGATAGCAAACTAGTGGACGAACTTCAACTAAAGGTAGAAGGAAATTCCACTTTACGTCTCAAGACGTTTGGAACTAAACTGGCAAAGGAAGAAAAGCACCGTATAGTACACGTGGATCTAGTGGACAGAATGGGCGACACACATCCATGCAAACTATACGACTGTGCAATTCTAACATACAAGACGGCGGAACCACAGCTCACGGACGAAGATTTGAGCTACATCAAAGAACGTGGTCTACATCTATCAACAAAGACCAGCAAAGACATTCAACCACGCGTTCTCTTAGGATGCGATTACCTATGGGAATTGATGGAGAACGAGAAGCACAACTTACCCTCGGGCATGCATCTCATTGGGACGAAGTTTGGATTCATGCTCTCAGGGAAAAAGAAAAAACCTGTGACGAAAACAGCATCCACTACATTACAAACCAGTTGCGAAGATAACGAGTTAGACATATATGATAACTACTGGAAGATGGAATCCACAGGGATCGAAGAATACACAGGAACCGAGAAAGAAGCTAAAAAGATCCAAGAGGATCAAATTCTCAAGAAATTCAAGGAAACAATTGTACGAAAACCAGACGGATATTATGTACGGCTTCCTTGGAAGGAGCCTCACGAATACCTACCAGATAATAGATCCATTGCACTAGCCAGATTGAAGTCACTGCTCCGACAGTACGAAGACCGCAAAGAATTCCTACAGGAGTTCGATAACATCTTCAAAGATCAACTCCAGAAAGGGATCATTGAAGTAGTGGAAGAAGAGGCCGGCAAACCTCGACCTAAAGGCAAGATCATTCACTATCTGGCACATCAAGCAGTGGTTAACCCAGAAAAACGAACAACTCCAAAGCGTATCGTCTTCGACGCATCAGCTCATTATGCTGGGAAGCCGTCACTCAACGATGTCCTTCACCAAGGACCCTTGACGATACCTAATATCTGCGGAATGCTTATGCGATTCCGAATGGGAAAGATCGCTATGACCGCAGATATAGAAAAGGCCTTCCTACAAGTGAGGTTACATGAACAAGACCGAGATGCAACAAGATTCTTATGGCTCAAGAACCTAAACGAACCAGTGAGCGAAGAAAACATTGTCACTTTCCGCTTCACACGAGTGACATTCGGTCTTATATCGTCACCCTTTCTGTTGGGAGCCACCATCAACTTTCACTTGGATACCACAGAAAGCGGGAACGATGTTGCCTCACAAGTGAAGGATAATCTGTACGTGGACAACCTCTTCATAACAACGGATGATAGAGACGAAGCCGTCAGACAATATAGAGAAGTCAAGCGAATCTTCGAAGATATCAATATGAACATGAGGGAATTCACTACGAACGATGCAGAGGTCAGAAGGCACTTCGCAGAAAGAGACCGAAGCACTTCAACGAAGTGTAAGGTCTTGGGGATCGAATGGCTCACTAAAGACGACATATTAGTAGCCAGATGCGACGGAGAACCGCTGACAAGAGTAACGAAACGTGCGGTACTACACGTCAACGCATCAGTTTTCGATCCATTAGGCTGGCTCACACCGCTTATGGTGCGAAACAAACACTTCTTCCAACAGCTGTGGCTAAAACCATACGGATGGGACGACTTGCTCTCTGAAGAGGACCAGGAGCGGTGGAAGAAGTTGTGGGAATCCATTGCAGGCTTCTCGAAGCAGCTACCGAGAAAACTAGGGACGAAGCAAGGAAACTACCAACTAATAGCCTGCAGTGACGCCAGCACCTACGCGTTAGCAGCAGCTGTTTACATTAGGCAAGGAACCGAACAGCACCTGCTGATTGCGAAGTTGAAATTACCTTCGTTAAAAATGCCACATACAATCCCGAAGCTGGAAATCAACGCCTTGACGATAGCAGGAAGGCTGTTGTTATCCACTTTCGAAGAATTGAAGAAAACCATCAGCATAAAAACAGTTTATCTCCTATCAGACTCAGAAATAGCCTTGAGTTGGCTGAAGAACGAAAGCCCACAGAAGGCTACAGGAGTCTTAGTAACGAATAGAATCAAAGAAATTAAGAAAATAGCGAAGAAACTAGAGCAGGAAGGGGTAAACACCTATTTCGGCTACATTAACACGAAGGTAAACCCAGCAGACTGCGCCACACGAGGTCTTACAGCCGAGGAATTGCAAAATCATATATGGTGGGATGGCCCTCCGACCTCGCTCACGGACGAAAATGCCACTTACGAAGGGCTAGAACGATTCCAATTGCCCCCTGATCCTGCTGAAGTATTGCAGATCTCGAATGCGAGCCACCCACTCATACATGTGGAACGATTTAGCTCGCTTCGAAGACTGAAAAGAACCGTAGCGTACGTTGGCATATTCCTGAACAAATTGGCGAAGAACTTACCAGAGGAATCGAAGCAGAAAATTAGAAGAGCCAGTGGAATTCAGGAAGCTACGGATAAACTCCAAGGAGCAGATCTTATGCAAGCAGAAAGGACTATTATTAAGCTCCACCAGAAAGAACACGAAGCTCTGATAACAGCCAACGAACAACGAAAACTCAACATTACCAGAGACGAGAAAGGTATCTGGAGATGCTTCGGAAGATTAGGCAATAGCTGCCTGCAAAAAGACGCCAAAAACCCCATTTTCATCGCGCCGAACACGCATTTAGCGAAGCTTATAATCAGAGAAGCGCACAGTAAGCTCCACTGTGGAGTCGGGTTAACCATGGCGGAGGTCCGAAAGAAATACTGGATACCGAAGTTGAGACAACAGACGAAGAAGGAGATCCAGAGATGCGTACCGTGTCAGAAATTCAACAATTTACCTTTCCGGTACCCACCTTTAGCGAATCTACCCACTAGAAGAGTAGTCAGGTCACGACCCTTTCAAAACATTGGTCTAGACCTGTTCGGACCCATGAAGATACGAAACAACGAAAACATTGTCTCGAAAGCGTACGGATGCATATTCACATGTGCAACAACCCGACTAATGCACATTGAGCTCATCCGAGATAACTCGGCGACGGCGTTCATAAACGCCCTACGTCGATTTATGTCACGTCGAGGAGTCCCGGACTCGATCACCTGCGACAACGCCACGAATTTCGCATTAGCAGAGCGAATAACCACGGATTGTCTAAAAAACGACGAAGTGGATCAAGTCATGGCGAATGCGCACATAACATGGAAGAAGATCACGCCATATGCTCCTTGGCAAGGAGGGTTTTACGAGCGTCTTATAAAAGACGTCAAACAGTCACTCCACAAAACCCTTAGCAGGAAAATCGTCAACGAAGATGCCCTCAGGACGGTACTGGTAGAGATTGAAGGCACCTTGAATAACAGACCGTTGACGTATCAGGAGGAAAACCCGGACGAAATTGTCCCTATAAGGCCCATAGACTTTGTACAGAATAGGCTACTCATCACGTATTCAGTCGAAAACGATGACCTCAGCGATAGGGAAGATCCCAACTTTCTACCTCCTGAAGAAACCGCCCAGCTCAGGACCCAATACGAAGCAAAGTCAGCCCTACACGCCTCGCAAGCGCTGACGGACGGGTTTTGGAAGCTGTGGAAAGACAGCTATTTGACGTCATTAAGGGAGCAGCATCGCAAACATCTACATCAAGGTCGTAGTTCCCCGAAGCTTCCCCGGGTTGGACAAGTAGTACTCATACAGGATCCATTTTTATCGAGAAACGCGTGGAAAATGGGGTTAATAACGAATTTAGGGACGGAGAATCCAAATCAAATACGCCAAGTCGAGCTCAGAATGCCAAACGGAAAAGTGACGAAGAGGCCAGTAAACAGTCTCATACCACTTGAGTTAATGGATTCGGATCCCGGTCACGAACAACTATCAACTCACGAACACCCGAGCGCACCCACCCAACCCGAACTTCCAAGCGAACCTTCACCCGAAACCCCAAGGCGTCCAAAACGAAGCCCCTCTAGATACTACCCGTACAGCCTCGAAGAGTACGAAATCAATTCGATTACCACAGACGAAAAATCAATTACACAGCCAAATACGTATATTTTCAGAATGCAGGAACAAGGACAAGGTTACGAATCCCTCGACTCCTTTCTTCAGACTCTGAATCAACGCCGGTCGATGTTCAATGAGAAAGAACTACAGAGACGCTTGGACATCGTGTACGAAGAAACTACTAAGCTTATGGCACAAGGACAGCAAATAGTCACGAAGGCTACAGACCTGAAGAACGAAGCCGCCAATTACGAACCAGTTCCGGAAAAGTCAAAGCCACTTTACGACAGGAAGAACGAGCTACTTGCATCCATTCATCTTCTCAAACAGCGATGGGAACACGTTCACGTAGTCTCTATACTTCTCTGGGACGCATACGACATGTTAGTTCACCTGAATCCACCAACATTCTTCAATAGGGTAGCGTTCGAACAACGACCAAGGCCAAGAGGACACTATACCAAGGATGACAGCATAACCACCATTCGCGAAGAGCAGCATCAGCTCAACGGCCTCCAAGCACAGCTTGAAATACTTACAATCGACCCTTTCCTCAATCCGTATATTGATAGCGACGAAAAGAAACCATACATCAGTGAAGTCTCCGATGCCGACATTCACGCCAAGCTGGACAACATCGAAAAGCTGATCCAAAAACGGATTGATGACACATCTATTACTAAAAGATCACCGGACACGGAATCAATGCTCAGGAAGCTACATCGAATCGAAACCATCCTTATCGAAGACAAAGCAAGACGCACCGAGGATACATTGTCTCAGCAACTAGTTCAGCTGACGGAGCTACTTCAACAGACGTCCACGAATTTGGAAAATAAGATAAACAACAACACCGAACTTATCGTGAACTCCATCATCAATTTACTGACCCAGGTTTCGGAACTCCTACGCACAGGCCACCAGCCCAAGTCACCCGACCGTCACCGTCATAATAGCAGTTCACCAGTCGCCAGAAGGCAGACGCCTCGAAGAAGCCGCTCGAGACAACCCGCCAAAAGACCACCTCGAGACCCCGAATTGGCTCTTCTGCATCGTAAACTCGATCACCTAGCACAATGTGAGAAGAGATTGTACGGATTGGACGCTCCGCAGCCATCGACACCCCACAAATGTACCTTCTGCTTCGCTATACATAACGAAGATGCCTGTGTCGCCTTCAAAACAGTCGAAGAAAGAAGAGCCGTCGTACGGAGCCGCAACCTCTGCATCCATTGCCTCGGCAACTCCTGCGTGAAACCCTGCCCGGACCGAATCGCATGTAATTACTGTAAAAGCAAGTCGCATCACTACGCCTTATGCCCACTTCCAGAAGAACGTAGCGCCCTCGAAGAGCAAATCGCCATGTACCATCACTAAAAGGCCCCCCCCCGGAGTGTGCTGAGGCCGGATTGATCCCCGGCCTCAGCACTCCGTTTTGATCTTTTGCGCGCCAAAGTGGGGTATTTCAGGGCGCCGGCGTCACACGAAGGGACAAATCGATGATAGCTATTGGTCGGATCTTTTGTATCTCATTTGTATGTCGGTTCTTTACTTTTGCCATACTTTTATCTGTTAGCCGGTTTAGTTGTTCTTGTTTTGATTTGCCTTCCTATACGTGTTACTCTTTTGCCTCATTTTCGATAATCCGATTTTGATCCTCATATCCGAAGCTCATGATTCTCATTATATTCACTTAGTAGTTTTGTTTCGCGTGTGTTTTGTTAATTTTGTATTGAATAAATAGGGTTTAATTACCCAAGTTTGAGGTGTGTGTCCACGGCGGTGGCTATCCGCGACTACTTCAAGCCGATCTGTTATTCCTAGTTCTGTTATTCGTTCACAATTCATTCAGCGTTTCCGCCCCAAGCTCAGAAAGACCCGCGTGGCAACGAAGCTCTCAAACATCCGAAGCCCCAGTTCTACGCAGCCGGTGAAAGGTGGGATTCCAGTAATCCTTTCACTTTTCTTTTCTCTTCTTTCCGAGTTTTTTGGTCAATTTTGAGTACGGGGTCCCCCTCGCTCTCCCCCTTTAGTACCCGGGACCCAACTCACATATAGATAGCCAAATTTTAGTACGTTCCAAATTGATGATTTTGACAGAAAGCCTGCTGGCCTGATGTAGATTTGATAGGTTTTGGCCGGCACATGAAGCCTCATACATCGCAAGCGATGCAATCACAACTAGACACAAGGAAGTCCACGCTTTTTCACTGAGTTTCCAGATCATTGTTGATTTGACGGCCAACTCTCAGCGTAATAACCTCGTAAATTCGAAATTGTCCAGTGGCCTTCTAATAAAATAATTGCTCTGATAGACATCACATCTTTGTGGTAGCCAAATTCTTGCCGTTTCCCTGGAGCCTCGAGTCCAAGTGATGTTGTGATGCCAAATGAGTTGCGACATGATTTGATACAATGCAGTGTCATCACTGTCGACAATGAGTTACGTTTGCCAATACTGTTGTTTAAGCGGAATCCCGCTCAAGACCATAGTGAGGTATAAGCAATTTTTGCTTTGCTGAGTCTTTTGGCAATATAGAGAAGGGCAAGTTACGGGATGATGTGTAGCGCTGGAAGTCTCATGTGCTCCCGTTGTGGTATATGTTGTGCAACTATCTATTATTTAAAAGTATGCATCTTAGGAGCAGAAGCCAAAGCAGTTTTCCAGCTAAAGGTGTAGCAGCGAACAATGTCAGTAGCATAATATGGATATCGAATAGACAGCCAAATAAGCTGTAGCAGTACCAGTAGTAAAATACAGATGAATAGGCAAAGATACAACACATAGCAATGTTACGAATACGCGAGCAAAATGATGCGCCACCTTCATTAGACAAGACTGGTGCATCTTATTATACAAAGGGACGCAGCGAAGAATCTGAACGTCATTAAAAAATGCCTACTGAGTATATCACGGTGCGTGTTTAGAATCAGAAGCTTAATATGACATCTCTTTAAACTAGAAATTGTCTAATTCAAAATTATTAGAATACAGAAAACAAGGAAAAGATACTTGAATCGTGGTCAATCATAATAAGGAGTACACTGATAGATGTGCCTTTGAATGCTGCTTCAAAAACTTTCTTCCATATAAGGAAATTACAAAATGAAAGAAGCGTAACTATTTTTCCAATTGAAAGTTATCAATAAAAGACTTCCTTGTTTTTACAGCCTCACAAAAATTAGTCAGTCCAAAGACAATATTACTATGTCTACTATCATATTTTCTTCAGTATATTCAGACAAATTTAGATTGACAATAATGATTCCAACTTGCCCATCAATACAAAATCTTTGAAAAAAATTTTTATGGTTCCCCTGAAAAATGGTTTCGCAGATAGCAAGAGCAAATTTGAAATACGCGTTTCGAGGTGCACCTATATGACGTAATCCCAATTAGAACGACCACTACATTATCTTTTTTTGTAAAAATATGACGGATGATAAATCCCAGTGTTCACAGTTGAGACGTCCTCAAGGACAGCTGCTAAAAAGAGGAGGAAATATGATGCCTTAGGAAGTCTCGAGACCTTGCAGAAGGTACGCCATGGAGCTTCAACTATGAACCTAACTCCGTTCTGATATGCTTTGATGCAAACCGCTTTCGATAATGATTTTATGATGAAAGTAAAGGGGATGCAGACGGCACTAGAACGGCCTTTTCAAGCAAATAAACCCAGAAATGAGCTTTTGCAACCCAAACAGCCATGAACGATAAGTAGACCGACGCCTTTACACATCAAGATCCAGAAAATGTAAGCGCCGTATCTCCTTCTTGCAGCATAAAAAAGCTGTTCGGGACGGCCGTGCATCAGCAAATTTCAAGACTAAATAGGAACTCCATGTAGTTTTTAACACTCTCATAGAAATACCGATTTTTCAAAGAAAGTTTTGCAGCTATCTAACCCGGTAAAAATTTATGGTAACGGCGATTTCTTTTTTCATTTCACTTCGTTATTGTACGACGAAATTACCTATACGATTACGATGGTGGTAGTCAGTATGACGCATGCTTCGTACAAATTGACGCTTGCACAACTCAAACTAACTCAACTGACTCACAACCCAAACTTGCCCACAATGCTGCGCACATTCTTCGGTAATATAGCTGCAGATGAAATAAGTAACTGATACCTCGGTGAGAGAAACTGCCCAACGTAGAGAGCTCATCACACTTCTTGTCATCGCATTAGTTCATGGCCAACCATTTATTGTAGAGCTGAAATGGAATCAGACTGTGCATTTTGTGAGCATAACAATGACTGCAAACGTTAAAGTTCGTTATGAAAAGCTTTAACAATATTTTCCAATGAATAACATTCTTGAGTTGTAACTGAATTGGATAGTGATGCGAGTATTTTACAGATAGTTTCTGAAATCAAAGCTGCATAACGTACAGATAAGAGTAAAAATTTGTAGGTTGCCTCTGACAAGCTTGTGTGTTGCACAAGAGGCATTTTCTTTTCTCAGTAATGCGTCTAGGGGAAAGACCTTGTGACACCTTTCAAGCACACAATTTTTCGTACTTTGTTGGTTTTAGCGCGCTGTAAACTACTTCAATGCTTGCTACTTGTTGTTAATACAAAAAAAGCGTAGTTCTTCAGGAACGCAATTCAAGAGATCGTAATTGAGCACATCAGCAGTGCAAAAGCTTCTCGTCACGAAGCGCGGGATTTTTGTCCATATGTAGAGGTGTTTGACGCTACAGCTTTGCTATCTCCACCAAAAGATTTTGTAGCTATAGCTACAAAATCTATGTAGCTTGACATTTGCCAGTCGCAAGCACCATACGAAAACCTCCAAGCACCATACGAAAACCTCCATCCCCTTCCTCATCCCTTAGGCTGACGAGAATGCACAATTACGCCTTAGATTTTGTGGCGGTGTTCCTTTGTGTTATGTAGAAAACACAAGGCTTAGGGCCGCATGCACTAACATCCCCGCGGGGAGGGGATCGCAGCTTAAAAGAAAGCTTTATATTTCGAAACTCCAGAAACCTGAATTTCACGTTGTGTACCTATCCGTAAGTATTCCTACTATCCTTCACTATGAACATGTTGAAGAGGAGCGAGAAGCTGTACGAACCGCATTTTCCAGCTTTTGTATGAACCCTGATGATCCCCGGCGCTTTTCTTTAGAGTCATTTATCTTCCTCCGAAGTTAACGAAAAACCTCCAAAGTTGTGCAGATTATCGAACCCGACAGTGCTAAGCATGTTCGTGATAAGAACAAATGATGTTTTGAAGTCATGAAATTTTCGATGATCCACAGGTCTAAATTTGAGGTTTACCGAAAAATTCGACTTTTCAAAAACTCTTTTGTTCTCATCAGCACATGCTTAGCATTGTTGTGTTAGATGTTCAGTATAGCTTTGGAAAGTTTTCGTTAACTTCGGAGAAAGAAAAATGACTTTAAAAAAAGCGCTGGGGATCATCAGGGATCATACAAAAGCTGGAAAATGCGGTTCGTACAGCTTCTCGCTCCTCTTCAACATGTTCTTAGTTAAGGGTAGTGAAATACTTACGGATAGGTACACAACATGAAATCCAGGTATCTGGAGCTTCGAAATATAAAGCTTTCTTTTAAGCTGCGATCCCTTCCCCAGCGGGGAGGTTAGTGCATGCAGCCCTTAGTGTCGTGTGAACCCGGCCAGCTTCCCATATGTACCTCCGCGCCGCGCACGCAGCGCATGCCTTCAATGCGCCTCTTGTAGCTTTTACTGAAGGACTCCATGTTTTTCCTTCTTCTTTAATCTCGTTGCCCTATAAACTTTATATTTTAGGTGTAAACTACAACGATAGCCGATGATGAGTTTTTGTTGCCGCAGTGGTCCGAGCTTCTACCAGTTTCCCGTTTTGTTTTTCTTATATTATTTATACCTGAGTGATCGCTGAAAGAACTTTTCTTCTTAACAAGATAGGCATATCTCTCGGCTCGATGCAGAGTGAAGGTGGTTTAAGTCAACGGGGAACGCCCATAATCGGCCGCGGAACTGGTGGGGAAACTGAGTCGCGCCCCAGCGCTAATCGATTGGAGCATGTTATCCTTCGTGCACTTAGAGATCTGGACGTAGCAGTCCTTCGCAGTAAGTGTCCTCTTATCTGCATTGTTGTGCGGCTACGATACAGCACATTGAGGTTGATGACTAACTAATCACTTCGGAATGTGCACATTGTAGCGCGACTTCAGCTTGTTCTGATAATTTTGTATAATCAATAGCTTCAACTGTACTGATGACTGTTATGCGCTTCAACAGTCTTGTTCACTCTTCAGAGATCATAGAGGCAAAATTGCTGCGTTCGTCGCAGCCTCATAGGGCTTCTTCAGCTTGAAAAGGTCGGGTTTGGATCACCTCCTCCTCAAAAAGGACGGTTGTATTGTAGCGTCGTAGAATCGTCATTGTTGCGCGGCTTACATCACGTTTTCAGATAATTTTGTTTATGTTTACCATACATCTGACGTACCATTTTAGCTCGGTCAATGGCAGTTGCCACTTCAACATAACGTAGGACTGAACATACTTTTCCACTTCTTTGATATTCGGAGTAAATTGTTCAAGAACGATCTTAGCATAAAGCAACGAAATTGAGCACGCCAGTACTGCAGGTGTCACTGGCCTGCAGCACCGGCGTGCTCATGCTGCTAAGGCACGCAGTTGTCACTGGAGGATGAACTTAGTATCTGCAGTAGACAAACATCAACCGCAAACGTCATGACTATTGTATGACGGTAACCGGGTCCAATTTGAAACGCAGGAGACGAACTTTCTTGGGGGTTGATCTGGGGGTTCTATCTATAGTGTCTTGAGCAATAGTATGTGCTGGCACTAACACAGCAGATATGATGATTTATAAATCTCCATTGTGGAAAAGTTCTGATGATCCTTGCTCAGTTAGCTATCTTATCTTGAAATGACTGACTAGCTACCAGAAAAGTGGGAAAAGTGCCAGCAATAATTCTTGAAAAGATGTTTGGAGATAGCACATAGGAAGCGGATCGAATTCGTAGATGTTGTGTTCGATTCTGTACTAGGTGCTCACAGTACTCAAGGATGTCGTTCTTACTCGATGAGTAAGCATACTCTTCAACCTTTTCTAAACCCGGCGGACATTTATAGAGTCACAACATATAGATATTTTGCAAGATAAGCATCCACCAGAACCTTATTTTACAGCATCGCAAGATCTGATGCCTTGATTTCTCGGATCAACTGTGGTACTAATGCTGAACTAGGATTGGATGTTCAAAGCCACAAACCATGCTCAGTTCACAAATTGCAGTGGTTTTTTGACTCACGTACAAGCGCTAGCTTTTCTCAGCGCCTCATACCTTTTGCCACTAGATTGTGCTTTTACCCGTAAAAGTTATGTAGAGAAGTAGCTAGCTCCAAAAGAACTTCTCAACGTTAACACCAGCACAAACCCAGAATGCAAAATGTCATGGTTCGCCCAAGTTTGGCAAGCTGTAAACTTGTTGAAAAACTTCTTAAGTTATTGACTACAGTCAATAATAGTGATGGTACTAGAAATCTCATGTGGAGTAAAAGCAAAAACGATGCCCTATCGTAGTCACCATATTCACTTTGCTTGCTACGTGCGCGATTCGAGAAAATACCGTGCTCCAGTCGATTTGCACTGGGGCGCGATTCAGTTTGCCCACCAGTTCCGCGGCCGATTATGGGCGTTCGTCAACGGGGAGCCTTCAAATTTTGATTGTACAAATGTGCATGTATTTTCGAGCTCAAATTATTGGAAAAGAAGAGGAACGCTTCAAGAATGATGCTCGTTCCTCTTCTGCTTCTACTCATTGCCTTTCATGCATCATTGAAAGTCTAGAATCCGTGACCATTGGGATGGATAAAATTTAGGTGTTCGCGAAATTTGCATATGTTTTGTTTTAGCAGGGGCCTCTACCGAGGTGTGGCTGAAGTTTGCCACTCCTCATTTCACTCATAAGTGAGCGTAAAAATGCTTTACCGCTCATATGGGAGATGAGAAGCATCAAGCCATGCGTGCGCTGCGCCTGCGCAGCGGAGGCACCTATGGAAAGCTGGCCGGGGTGTATGCCAAGATGGACGGTAGCTGGAAATAAGCATACTGTACTCCTACGGTTGTCATTACGCATACAAAGTCTAACTTTTCCTAGCTAAATGTTCTACACTGGATTGAAAATGGTGTCGAACAGTAAGAATTAGGGCATGGACAGAAACAACCCGTTTTATCTTTGAACATTGGGCTGCTAACTAAGTTTTGCAACTTCCTGTAACTTTCCCCTTTTGATCTTGAGCGCTTTTTCTTGCGAATTATACAATAGAAAGTAGGCTACACTGGAAAAAACCGCTCTTTTTGGTGACAAAACAGAAAAAATTCCAGGTCTTTTCAAAAATTAGTATTCGAGGACTTCTGGGGTTATAAGCAAAAATAAAGCCGTTTGCAACCTAGACCATGCACCGATCCGAAATCGTACATAGATTGTAGCCAGGTTGTCTTATTACACTCAACAAACGAGGGGCAACCGTCAAGAAATGATGCCGAGTCTCAGTATTCGCCGAAACTTGGCATAAGAGTGTTACTTGACCTGAACACAAGAATCATGTTTATTTGTTCCATTAACCCCTCCTTTCGTGTTTAGGGTGAAACCCCATACCGTAAACTTACCGTAGCTTGCAAAAAGGTCTTACCACGCGAATTTGGCATTGTTTTCAATATCAGTATGTCGGATAACCCCCTATGCCAATCCCAGCCAAATCTGTGGTGATTAAATATCTTCCCATTTACCGTATACCTACCGTAGCCCTCACCATGACGTCAGAATTCAGCACAGTCACAGCTGCACTTGTAGTATGAGTTAAAGCTTACATAATCGCAAAATGTTTGTCATGCTCGAAGAGAAAAGTTTTCAAAAAAGTTGCATAACATAGTTAACAGCCTGATATTTCTAAATTGAGTGTTGTAAATAGAAAATAAAAGCGAAATTGTAAGAAAAAAACAATCCATTTTCTAGTCATCCGTCCCCCTCCTCCCCCCCCCCTCCCCCCCCCCCCCCAAATCCCATCGATAGTCGATTACCGTCTTTATAATAGGACAAACTCTTGTCTACAAATGTTATGAAAGAATCAAGTACTAGACTATTCTACAAAAATATAATTACCCACATAGACATTTATCATTGCTGACAATTTAATAGCAGTACATTCAATCTTACATTTCACCTTCTCGAGAAAAAGAGTATCATAACACAAAAGAAAAGTAGCAACAAAACATAGGATAGGATGTGACATAGCTAGCAACCCCTATGCGTCACATTTCTGTCCTTGACTACATTGTACGAGCTTATTGGCATTATTACGCCGTAACAACATCATCTCAACCAATCAAAACGATTTCTAGTCGGAACAATGGGGAGAGAATTCTGCTGACAAAACGACTGCACATCATGCTGAGGTTAACAAAAAATTCAAATCAAACACAAACGAGTACAAACCCACTTTGGCTCAACCACATAATGAAAGAAAGAGGGACGAATGCATATGCTGAACACAAAGTTTCATACAAAAGAAAAATCTTAAATTATTTGTATATATTAACTCATTGTAATCAAAGACCTGCAATACATTTAACACGATAATAAACAATTCAACGGCATGTCACATAAGAGCTAATCGGATCAATCAAAAGCCTACTGATTACTTCGAGGGACCACAAGGCCAAGTTTCTTTGCTTCACTCTCATAAATCAAAAGCCTCCACATTTTGACGACGAACACTTCGGCATCCTCGTCGAGGATCTGAGTTTTGAATATTGATCTGATGAAAGGTAATTGCAAAATATTTTCCTGTGCGATAGAGCCGTTACTCGAAAAAAAAAGTAAAAAAAGAATAAAACAAACTTTATAGGAATGAAACATTTACTCACCATCGCGATATCACTGAGAATTCGATCCGGTGGCGTCTTCGTCGCTACTTTTTCACAAACAAAATCAACAAGTGCGCTTTCCTCTTCCCCTGAAAAAGAAGTTTGTTCGAACTGACAAATAACAATCATAGGAATTTAAAGTGCACTCACCCAAAAACTCAAGGATTTTCTTCGCTACCCATGGACGAACTCTTTGTTCAATAAGAGATCGATCAACAAATCGCCAGTCGATAGTATGCGCAAACAATTCATCTAAATTACGATTTCGACAACTAATCGAGATCACGATAAAGAAAAAGCAATTCAGTTGAAAATTCTACCTTTAGTTGTAGGAATGTTATTGATGAGATCCTTTACCATACGCTTCTTTTCATCTGTTGTCAATGTTTCCATTCGGTCTTCTTGCGTAATTTCGAATGGACGCATATGTTTACGAGCAACTCCCTCTTCTTCATCATCATCAACTCCTAAAAACGATCCACCAAATGGAGGAGCAATAAAAATGTGGCTTATGCAGAGCCTCACCAAAAACTCCATTAAGTTTGGCACTGAGCTCAGGGCGTGGCAAGGTATGCAATGATGTACTAGAAGTTGCTCCTTTCATAGTTATCGTTGGCGATGCTATACTGAGAGGTGTAGATTGGGAGGTAACGTCGACTGAAATCAATACCAGTAAATTACAAGAAAAGACAAAAATGTTCGATCAATAAATAATATAATAAAAATATGCCAAAGCTACCAAGGGTCATTTCTAAAGGCAAACATGCGAAAGAAACACTGCATTTTCATTCCGTTCCAGCAACTAAAAAAACTTGGAAAAAGGCGCAAAAACATTAGCTATGTGCTTTTTTCAAACAAAACGAATTAAAAGAATGAGTATGAAGTAACATTTACCGCTCTTCCATCGATCTTCATGACTAGTTGTAGGAGCTGGAGCATCGCTTTTGGGCGTTTTAGTATCGGCATCATCCCGGTCATCATCGGCAACCGACTTTCCATCAACATCAGACTTTCCTTCCTCTTCATCTTCTTCACTTTCATCGCTACTACTCGAACTATCACCATCACCATCTCTTTGTCCAAGAGGCTGATGAGGGTTAGGGCTTCCGCTATCTTCCCGTAGGCGTCGCATGGCTTCCTCTTCCTATATTGAACAAGAATCTTGCAGATGAGCTTGTCTAATCCAGAAAAAATTACCAAAGACACCTTTTCGAGATGTCTCCTTCGCGCTTCTTCATCCACATCTTTTATGTCCTTGTTTTCAGCAAGAATTTGTTTTCGCAACTCTTCGATTTCTTGCTGTTCTCTGAGCCTATCCTTGGAGTCGGCTTCACGCTCGCGTTCAAAGTCTCGCTTACGTTGGAACAGAGATGAGCTCCTTCAAAATATAGAGTAGTTATCAAAATGTTACTATCCGTATCGCTAGGCTTACTTATAGTACTTTGGATCATCCTTCTCATCATCATAATCTTCCAAGAAATGCTTTAGTTTTTTCGCCTCTTTCAGGATATCCCGTCTTCTGAAAAAAGCAGATACTAACAATGGATTCCTTAGAATTTTTTTGACGCACCTGTCCTTCTCCCTTCGTTCTTCCCTCTCATATTGCTTAGCTTTTTGCCGCTCACGGGCTTCCCATTTTGTCAAACGAGCCACATAAGCCTGCTCTTTTTCTTTGATTTGTTTCTTCAAATTACGCCTTTCACGGGCTTCCTCGCTATCCTCAGAGCTTCTAGATGACAAATATTTACATGTAGGCATAAGAAGCCTTCTGAAGCGATAATTACCTGCTAAGCGACCGTTCTCTTTCCCGTTTTCTCTTAGGAGTACGAGACCTCGATCGACTGCGGGATTCAGATGACTCGCTAGAGCTACTGCTTTCAGATGAACCCGAATAAGATGCAGAACGACGTCTTCGTCTAAAAATAAGAGAGCTGAGCTAAATTAAAAAGTTGGTTATGAAAGAGTCCACTCTTATACAAGCAACCCAAGAAAGAATGATTGTAAAAATGTGACCCAAAATTGGTTACGCAGAAGTTCTAAAAGAAGAGAGATGAAGCAAACTCACTTATGTTTTGGCGATTTGCTGCGTCGCGACGATCGTCTATCATTTCGTGAATGTGAACGCGATTCGGAACGTGATCTATGTCGTGATCGATGTCGTCGTTCTCTCTCCGCTTCCTATAACATATTATATACAGATGCTTCCTACTCGTTCGTCTCTACAACAAAGTATACGCATATCATTTATGCGCGCGATATCAATTTCAAAATATAAACACCATCGCCTAAACCGAGACAAGTACGAGTTATGTTGGGTAAACCAGCCTGTTCTTATTAAACGAGTTCATGTCGCCCTGAAACGGAATGCTTGATGCATACACGTAGATGTACACGGAAATTATAAAAATAAAAATAAAAAACCAGAGAAAACGTTAGAACCAGCATGCAAATATTGGGTACGGTGTGAATAGAAGCACAGTCAATATTAAAACACGCTACGGACTTTGTCAACGCCGACAGAGCACCCCGTGGTGGGACGTACCCGCCTTCTCACCGTTTCTCTACATATAAATCGGTGAGATGCTGAGGCTAACCGCACAACGAGAACATAGGTTTGACAACGCCAACTCGATTATATATATACAGATATTGTGATAATATGATATGTACACTCACACCGACCTGCTATCGTAACAAACGCTGCGATTCATGGGTATCTGAAAGTGTTGAGCGTAGTTGTTCGAGTACGAGAGACTGAGTAACAGTGGTTGCGGTACGGACGACTAGCGTATTAGTGTAGGTGGTGCAACAAGCGGTTTATACGGTAGGTTTGCCATGCGTGCATATGCGTTCGCGTGCGAGGCTGTTCAGAGATGTGTCAATGTTGATGATGATAATGACTGAGCTAACTTAACCATTACTCATCAACACAACAATAGACAGCAAAATAGCTGCTCTGCTATCGAAAAGAAAGGAGAGAAGGTGTGAAAGGAAACTCTTAGCATAGCATGAGGAGAAATTTGGGCTTAATCAACATCTTTAGCACACAATGGTCTCGCAAACTAAGCACATCACATACCATTTATGGGAGTTCGTACTGACGACATTAACCTGAATTTGAAATCGATTAAAAATAAAAATAAACTCATGGTAGAACATACGGAACAAGCAGTGTTTCAGCATGAGATTCGGCACGGCTCTACCCCAGTCAAAAGGATGGAAAGGAGGGAACCATAGCAGGCTTGGTGGCCAAGTAGATAAGATTTAATTAGGAACTATCTGAAGTACGCTTGAGCCACAAGGAAAGTGCGCCACAAAGATTTCGAAAGGGAAAGGGGGGGGGGAATCACGGAAAAGTATGGAGTTCCCAGCCCTCAAAAATTTTTGATATTCTTTGTTATGCGGGAAAATTTTGAGAAAAAAAGCAAACCTTTCCAAGAGTTAGTATGACTCTGAAAATTTATAAGTTATATGATATTATCTGCTTAATTTTGTAAAGTCCCTGATGAATGCGGTATTTATCTCACAAAGCGGTGCAAAGGCCGAGTTCAAGAATCTTTTAACAATAAGACACGTACACTAGCGCTCGTCCCGCTTATAAGGGAGTAATCTTCGCTTGAGAATAGCCTTTACCTCAAGAATGTAAAGCTTACAAAATTTCGTAAGCCATCCCCGCTATTAGGCAGTAGCTGTATTTGACAAGATACGTTCATTTTCGATGGCCAGTTTTCCTGCGCGAAAAACAACCAAATCCAATCAAGAAGCCAGCAAAAAATTTTCATACGAAACTTCCCAAAGCATAGCCATGTCACTCTTTCCTTTTTCTCATCCTCTTGTCTAGTCACCATGCCGAATTCCATTTAGCATGCATCACATAACACAGCAAAAAATTCCTAATGATAAATCGGTCCCAAAGCATATACGGCCGTTGCTGGATCATACACTTATATAGAAGCAGGGACAGACAGACAAGGAAAACAATGAGAGCAAGAGCAGCGAGACATTTTATGTGCGTTTCTACTTTCTTCTCATATATTCGTGAGAGTAAGGCAGCACGGACGACAGACATAAGTAGTTACAGTAGTAGCATGAATAGTATTAAGTCAATGATTATGGTAGAAACAAAGGAGATTTGAATCGGGCAACTTACCTTCGTCTAGGGCAAATCCGTCTTGCCACCTATAGATATGTATAACAGCTCGCGCGAGAACTGACTAAACCACAAATATCCAAAATAATGACAAGTGATGGTAGATTAGGCTCAATTCGGGCCTTTCTAATACTATTAGCAAGAATTTGACTTTTTGAATAATCTATGTCTCTCTCACGAGCTCTTCGAACAATCAAACAAACAGTCTGAGGCAAAAAAAGCGCTGGATAAATTTCTAACTACGAGGGGCAAATGGCAAAAGGTTGCCTACATTGAATGAAGCAGTTGCCAAAACCATATCTCCTTTTCTCTTTACCCACCTTTTTACTTTCCGCGGTCTCCTCGCGTTTCTTCTCTTCTTTCTTTTTCTCTTTCTCCTTCTATAACAGAAATGTTTGCTTCACGTTAAAGTGCTGAAGTAATCAACTGACCTTAGCATCCTTTCCTTCCTTCTCTGACAGCTCTCCATCTGTAATAAACACATAAATAAGGGACTATGATCAACGACAGAAAGAACATTCTACAGTTTCGAAAGGAAAAAGCCAGGCAAGCATAAACTCACAAAACTCAGAGTGACGCTACCTAAAGTCTATTTCTTTTAAATGTTGTATATTATACTTACAAGGAAGGGAATGTTAGTCAAAGTGGCCTTTTGATATGAGATGATTACTGCCTTGTGCGCGAAACGCTGATTCCAAATCTACCTACCTTACTGCTGCGGGTTAACGAGTAATTACGAAGGTTTTTATTAGCAAAAACTCGCATGCGCAGCTAAGACAAAATAGTCGTCACATTTTTCCTATGGCCCAAATGATTTTCGAGTTACTCTGTGCAATAAATTTTCTTAATTCAAACATATCCACTTAATTCTGCCACTTCGGAACGCTAAGAAAAGTCAACGACTGATTTTACTCTGATAGGGGATTAAATTTTTTGTGCATGAAAACCTTCAAAACTCCTTGTTAAGAAACAGCAGCAGATAAGAAAAGTATATTTGGAACAGCGTTTCGTACTCTTCATCAGTATAAACCTTATACAGAAAGGCCACTTCGATAAACTTCCTTTCCTCGTTAGTTTGAACAAAATAGGTAGAATAGGTGAAACATAGGTAAAGGCGAAACAAAATGAAAAAGCTTTCTAGCTAACCTTCAGCCAAGGTAACAAGTTGTGGATGATCTGTATCGATCCAATTCAGAATTTTCAGCCTGACTTCTTCATCCTTTCTCAAGTCATCTTCATCAGCCGGCAATTCATCTTCTTTAAGCTGCAGTTCTGGCTTGCCTGCAACATAATCTGCTGTATAACAACCCTAGAGTTTTTAGAAAATTTACATCGCGATCAAAGCTATGCAACATTAGCTCTTTGTGGTCATCGTCTGATCGCAGAATGCACTAATAACTAATGTAACACATATGTCACATGTGCAAGTCGCATGATTTCAGCATACCAACATATGTTCAATAATAATCCCTTTGAACTGGACAGGATTCTTATACAGAGCTTATGCTTTGCGAAAAGTCAAATTGTAAACCCCGTCACATCCAGGCCTCTAACAGCGACTGCTCAAACAGCTCAAAAAGATAGAATGCAGCTCAGATTTCATTTCTGCAGAAACATGACCTTATTCTTAGCAAGCCTTTCAGACTGTTGACATAGTTCTGCTGCCCTATTAGGGAAAAAGACAACGGTGTAACTTGAGCCACACCATTTCAGAGCTTTATAGAATTTCATTAAATCTAACGACACTCGAGCGCAGCTCGCTTCTTTGTCCTCATCGCAGCAAAGACTTCCGCCCCAGTGCCCAAGATGGAAAACACTTTGTGGCAGTCAATTCCATTCAGCCATGCATTGCTGATGGTTGACTTGTCTTTCTCACTCAATCAACAAGGCTGAAGAGGGCTTGACATCCTCTGAGAAGAAAAAACGTAAACATGACAAAATGCTGATCGGGGAGATTCTCAATTCACGCTGGCGATCTGTAATGAAGTGCTTATTATTGAATGCGTCTCGATGAGCTGATTCCATTTTGACTTCCATTTCCGCTTAATGATTTTCTCAAGGAAATACGAGCGTCCGAAAGTTCAAAAGTGACAAACAGTGAGTGGTCAAAAATCGGCGGCCTTACGCTTCTTGTGAATGTATGTCTTTCTTGTAGACAATACATTCAACAACATGCCACTTACGTTTTCCCCATTTGGACTTCAAAGCATATGATTTTTAAACTTCAAAAAATTCGACTTTTAAACGCTTATAATCATTCAGATACTCGCTCAACGGAAAGGGAAGGCAGATTTGGAATCAGCTCACCAAGGCGCGTCTAATGATATGCATTTCATTCCAGATGTGCAGCGCGGTTGGCATCCTTCCCTAATGAGCTGAATTTTGGCCTAAACTTTGAACTTCTATCCGAAAAGTGCAAGCTCTACAAGTTTTTGTAACGACCAACTGTTACTGCAGCACCGAACCCCGAGTCATACAATTAATTTTCTTCGCAGCTTCAACCCATTCGCAAGAAAGCGAAAGGAGTTGAGAGATTGCAGCTAGAGCTGCGGAATCAATTAGTACATCGCTCAAGACGCAAATGTTGCAAGAAATGCAATATATCTAATCTTCGCGTGCACTAAACGCATTTCACAGCATCACGCGCAGCAAAATTGCTGTTGGCGGCTGAAATTTGGCTAATTAGCGAAACACTAGACTGGACAAGAGCTTCTCTCTCAAAATCCATCAAATCTGATGTGCTTAGTTTCCTCGTTAAAGGATATGAAGAAAATCAAAAATACGCCGTAAGAGGAAACATACCAATGTCTTTTCGATGTTGTATGGCCCAAGAGCGCAATTCTTCTCGTACTTTAGGCTCTGCCTGAAATGAACACAGATAGGACAATCGAATGGGAATCTGGAACAAAACATCATTCAAATTCGCAGCCCAAACGTATCAATTCTTCTTACACGTATTTATGCACTACGGTAATTCTCCACCCCTCTTTAGAACGATTACGCTCCTTCTCCTATAACAAACACTTCAAAAATAACCCCTCCCAAAGCCTTCTAGGAGATCTACGTGTATTCTTTTTCAGAGTTTTCCTTGGCAGGGCTACATTTGCCGTGATTGACAAATCCTAGCATGCTTTCAGCCTGAAAGCCCAGAGGATTTCCATTACGCCACGCTCGAACAGATTTATGCCCCCTGTGGGAATTCTCTGAGAAGTAACGTTAGCACGCATGACATCATTCCGGATAAGACATTAGCCTAAACCCAAAGCAAAAAGTCCAGGAAAGCACGACACCCACTTTACATTGATGAGAAAATCCATCATTTGGAATGCACTGAGAAAAGCAAGAGCAATGAATTTCCGATGAGAAAGGTTATTTATGAATTTCTTATTCTAGGTTGACAAAAAACATTCGCTAATCCCTGATTGCCGCAATTGCAAATAATAGCAAACAGAGCTTAGTGTGAACATAAGGTTTTTATGTGCCACTCAAACGACTCAGTAAGTGCGAAGACACTTCAAAGTCAAGTTTCAAGCAAAAAAATTATCTTCCTCACTTTTACGACCAGCTTTTTGTCGCCTATTTGAAAGTCGTTGAGAACTCGCAAGGCTCTCAATGTGCCGAGTGGCTCCTCGAAGTCGCAAAATCCAAACGCTTGAAATTTGCCGTTGGATCCTTGTATTCGTTTCCATGTTGTTACGGTTCCACACTCCTAGAAAAACTTATCAGAGCTGTCCTACCTCCAACTTCAGTTCCAAAAGTACCTGTAACATCTGCTGCATGAAATCATTACTACATTTTTCTGATATATTTCCAACAAACACAGTAGTCACCGGTTTCTGCTTCACTGGAGCAATCTGAATCTGTAATATGCGCCGATCCATCATATTTTTGTTGAGAAAAAAGCAGCAAGCTGCTTATTTGATCATAATCATACATCGTAGCAAAAAAAAAAACGCGATAAAGATGTGCAGTCAGCTGTCGTACAACAAAACGCATAGATTGATGAGCATATCCGCAGCTGTGCAATCACAAACACGACAGCTACAGCTAGAGCAATCTACATTACAAAGCAAGAAAGCGTAAAAGCGCTTTCAATAGTAAAGGTAATCATAAAAGATTTCTGTGCAGATAAAAAAATACAGATAAAAAATAGCTCAAAAACATTATAGGTTCAAAAATTAAAAAAACAGCAGCCAGATCATACCTGAGGAGGGATATATCCCCTTCCGATCGGGTTAAAGAAGATCTGCGGTTGCGGTGGAAAGCCTAAACATGCACATAAGCAGATCAAACACTAATGGTTCTCGAAAATGACCTTGAAATCAACATAGTCCTCACCCGTTAACAAGATATTCTCTAATCCCAGAAAGGGTAACATCTCAGCTGATCAATCGTATTAGGCTCCACGATATATCACGCTGAATTGCGCCTTCACCCCGAAAACAAGTGGGCGGGATTGACTAGGGCGTGTATGTGTCCGTGTCTTCCGGATGTTTTAGTGATGTTTTGGGGGAGGGGAATGAGATAGCGAAAATCGATACTTTCTAGTTCTTCATCTACGAGCGAAGACTGATGACAACTGCAGCCATCGACAGCAACAGCGGCAACCACAGAAGTGATCGCCCGACTGACTGGAACAGAACACGCCGTGACACTTGTCGGTTTGCCGCTCAGGCTTAGAGGACATGTGCAGACGAACGACAAAATTGAATAATTGATGAGTGCGATGGTGAGATGTGGCCATCGAGAGGCGACAGTGCGCCTATACTTCGGAGTCAGAGCTGAGCGATTAGCGAGAAAAGGAGAAAAACGAGCGCCATTAGCATATGACCTATGCAGTTCGGAAAAGGCTGCCATTAATAGAACTTCACTTGCAATGCCCAAATAAACACTAAATTCAACTCCAAGTTGGGAGAAACTTGATTTGTAACGAAGCGTTGAGATGAACTTTACTATAAAAACCTATGAAAACTCTCCGAAGCATCTTCCATAGCATGCCTAATCAAACAGCTGTTTGCTCACATATGTTACTGAATCAAAAATGAATCTAAACATCTGTTCAGATTATTCCCAAAACATCTGATATTGACTTACTTCCAGACGACACTTTCCTGCGAAAAGACTAACTTGATTTGATAATCTGCAGGGTAGCTACCCAATGATCTCGCTAATCTCAATTTTAAAAAAATCTATTTTCCTATCTATCAAAACCGGTGGCAAAAACCGCTATACGGAAAATCAAAACGATATAAATCTAACACCAGTACGAAAAATTTTTTATTGAGTTGAGCTGTGACTTCTACAGTCTCAAGGTTTCTTAATCCTATCCAAAAGTGATCCATATGAGATCTCCAAATGACAAGGAACCTTTTTCAAGAAGAAACTTCTATTATAGATTTCCGGCAAGACTTTTTGAAAATTGAGCCGGATGAATAAAGTGATTGATCCTTCTTCGGCAGCACATACGCGAGTAGGAAACCTTCAAGATGTTTGCATCATAAGGGGCAAATGCATTCAAAAGCATCCAAGTGACTACATTGGAAACATCTGGCCCTTTGCTAGCGCATGCCAACTTGACATCCGTCGAATGTCTTTGTGAGCTGCAGATGTAAATGTAACCGATACCCTATAGACTAATTGCGCCACAATTTTGGCTATTTCGCAGCACCCACCCAAAACAAAAAAAAACATTTTCATCAATAGTATGGGATTTTTTAGAACACTATGAAAAAAGCGACGTGCTGCGTGAATAATTTCACCGCAAAAAAATAGGACCGTAACAAGGGCCTGAGGTGGCTTACAATCAATTTGGATGCCGTTTTGGGACAAAAAGCAAAGGGTATATCGTTTTTGCGGCCTAAAAAAACATAAGTCAGGTTAGTTTTTAAGTCGACGTTTCCGTTTTGGGTCAAAATGGACGTCGAAATTTCGCGAAAGTCAGAGGAAACTTCGTTTTTTGCATATTTACATATTCGGAGAGCTACCCTGCTGCCGAGCCCTGACCGAAACCACTGGAAACGACTAACGCTTGATTACTTCCTGGAAAAATTCACTAATGTCGATGCCTTAAAAGCATAGGTGCGATAGTGTGAGAATTTGCTCACCCCCCCCTTCACCCCTGAGCCGGAAACCAAGGTGACCCCCTTCACCAAAACGACAAAAAAAATCAACAGTGAGGTAAGGTTATGCCTGATAAAATGACCACGCTATCAACCTATTTGTAGACTCTACAGTCAAGAAGCAAGTGAAGGGCAATCGTGGCATTCTTCCAGCTATGTCCTTAGACCGATTTTATGAGGACCGATTTTATAAACGGTCTGAAAAAGTGAGTGTGGTCAAAAATTGGATGGTACACAAGCGCAAGACTGAGGTTTTTGCAGGCGTAATGTTCGAGAAGGAAAGGTTATACAACGCTTGTCACTTGCTTCATACGAATATGGGATGAAGGTCCGGACCGACCATGACTATATTCTTGTCTTAATGTTGCCGTTTCATGCTTTGTAATTTAATGAAAATATTGAAAGATGACGACTATCAACTATTGTGAGGCCATCAGAAGTTGTAATAGAAAGTGGTTCTGAGAAGTGTGATGATAGGAAGTATCAAAAATTATGAATGATGAAGCACGTAGAAAGAAGTAAAATATTGTCTGCCCAGGAAACTCTGAAAGATACAGTAAAATTATTGCATGTATAAATGGCCATTCTTGGTAAATGTGCACGTAAATGATAAGAAGGAAACACACGGGAGCAGGATTGGAACCTTCTCGTTATCTTCTAAAGAAGGCATTGGATGACAATGGAAGAAACAAGGACAGGAAAATCGGAACGCCTGACTGCCACGAAAAATTTATTCCGCTGAAGACTACTGGACACTGCGTAATACTGAACTTGTTAAATTCGGCAATTGGAAAAATTAGGGTTGTTGGAACAAAGTGAGGTTGTAACTACTTCTTGTTTAAATTTAGATTTAGCATAGGAGATATTTGTACGAAAATTGTTTGTGTATCGGAAAGGAGGGAGAAGATTTATAGGCAAAATTTGAAAAAATTCAATTAAAAATTCATAACGTTTGTAGATGAACAGCTAGTACAAGGAAATGCTCACCATTGAAACCGTTTCTTCCTCTGCTTTCAGAAAATATATAGTTTGTCTGGGATCCGTTGAAAAAAGTGCGTGGTGAAGGGGGTGCCTAGTGAATTTTGGAGATTTTCGAGTTTTCAACATAAAAAAATTCATAACTTCTGTAGATGAACAGCTAGTACAAGGAGATGCTCACCATTAGAACCGTCTCATTCTCCGCTTTCAGAAAATATATAGTTTGTAAGGGATCCCTTGCAAAAAGTGCCTGGTGAAGGGGGGGTGAGAATTTTATAACGGGAGTTCTCAGGCAGACGTCTTTTTACAATGGTGAAAAGGCCTCTGCCTGAGAACTCCCGTTATAAAATTCTCACCCCCCCTTCACCAGGCACTTTTTGCAAGGGATCCCTTACAAACTATATATTTTCTGAAAGCGGAGAATGAGACGGTTCTAATGGTGAGCATCTCCTTGTACTAGCTGTTCATCTACAGAAGTTATGAATTTTTTTATGTTGAAAACTCGAAAATCTCCAAAAATCACTAGGCACCCCCTTCACCACGCACTTTTTTCAACGGATCCCAGACAAACCATATATTTTCTGAAAGCAGAGGAAGAAACGGTTTCAATGGTGAGCATTTCCTTGTACTAGCTGTTCATCTACAAACGTTATGAATTTTTAATTGAATTTTTTCAAATTTTGCCTATAAATCTTCTCCCTCCTTTCCGATACACAAACAATTTTCGTACAAATATCTCCTATGCTAAATCTAAATTTAAACAAGAAGTAGTTACAACCTCACTTTGTTCCAACAACCCTAATTTTTCCAATTGCCGAATTTAACAAGTTCAGTATTACGCAGTGTCCAGTAGTCTTCAGCGGAATAAATTTTTCGTGGCAGTCAGGCGTTCCGATTTTCCTGTCCTTGTTTCTTCCATTGTCATCCAATGCCTTCTTTAGAAGATAACGAGAAGGTTCCAATCCTGCTCCCGTGTGTTTCCTTCTTATCATTTACGTGCCCATTTACCAAGAATGGCCATTTATACATGCAATAATTTTACTGTATCTTTCAGAGTTTCCTGGGCAGACAATATTTTACTTCTTTCTACGTGCTTCATCATTCATAATTTTTGATACTTCCTATCATCACACTTCTCAGAACCACTTTCTATTACAACTTCTGATGGCCTCACAATAGTTGATAGTCGTCATCTTTCAATATTTTCATTAAATTACAAAGCATAAAACGGCAACATTAAGACAAGAATATAGTCATCGGTCGGTCCGGTCCTTCATCCCATATTCGTATGAAGCAAGTGACAGGCGTTGTGTAACCTTTCCTTCTCGAACATTACGCCTGCAAAAACCTCAGTTTTGCACTTGTGTACCATCCAATAATTTTGACCACACTCACTTTTTCAGACCGTTTATAAAATCGGTCCTCATAAAATGAGGTTGTGAAAGGAATGCCGTTCCTGGCGGCGCGTGTGTGTGTAATTGCACACCCACATTCACACACGCACTCACCCCCCCCCCCCCAACCCCCCCCCCGCACCCCCTCTGACCCCCTTCACCCTGGAGGGGCTGCGACCACCGTGACCCCCTTCACCCTGGAGAGGTCATTCTCACCTTATCGCACCTATGCTTAAAAGTCAGACAGCAGAATGCTGCCGAAGATATGATGTAGGAATGAGCGCTACTTCAGAGTTATAAGTTACGCTAGCGTGAATGATGATTAATGTATGATATACAGACTGTTTATAATCTTCTCTTCGTTGAACCCAGGTGGTTATCGAAAACGCACGTACTTTCTCTCGAAATATATCAGAAGGCAGAGGAGAGAAGTGAAGCAAGATAATCGCCAGCGAAGCACTAATTCCAACGCACTTTTGAACTTCGATCTTAACTGATGTAAGAATCGTATGAAAATTATAGGGATGATGTCAAAATGAGTAAGACTACGAGCACGTCTAATATACAGGGTGTCCCAAAATAATGTGCACACTGTTTGATTTTGAATATCTCTCTTATTATGAGGTCTTTCGAGAAGCGGTAAGCGCCATTTTGTAGAGCTGGCTTCAGCTTAGATTTACAGTATAGAGCGAATCACCGACCGCTCTTCATTACTGTAGGATTACGGTAGAAACTTGGAACATATGGCGTCACTGTGGAAAAAGCTGCCGTTTCAAAAATTTTCAAAAAGATGTGAAAGCTTGAGTAATAGGGTTTTTAGGGACGCTGAGTTCAATACCCAACTATTCTCAAGATTGCGAAGCTTTCTAAACGGTGTAACTCGCACTTTTTAGGAACATTGAGAAAATGGCCGCTACTGCTTACCTCGCATAACTCTTCAGTCAAGCATCATAATAAGTTGGGAACTTTACAGTTAGAATCAGCAACTCTAATCGGCCTAGTGTAAAAGTTTTCAGGCTGTTTTGATTCCTTTCTGGAGCAAAATATGGCCTTTCATGGCCCAAAATTCTCTTTCAAATTTCTACCGTAATCCTACAGTAACGAAGAGCGGTCGGTGATCCGCTCTATACGAATCTAAGTTGAAACCAGCTCTACAAAATGGCGCTCACCGCTTCTCGAAAGACCTCATAATAAGAGAGTTATTCAAAATCAAACAGTGTGCACATTATTTTGGGACACCCTGTATGTAAAATTCCACCTGTGTGGCCAAAAATAGGATCAAAATAAGTTAAACAGCTGAATCTCTCGACGCTCAAGAGTGCTATAAGTTCAAGCACTCAAGCAAAAACTTCCTCAAACAAGAGACTTTGCCAATTGGACGTGGCGGAAACATGATAATCCGGGTAAATAGAGGACTTCCATGTGCCAAGAATCTCGACACTGCGCCTTTGGATCGACGGAAGACTTCACACTGCCAAACACCACTGTGGTGCTCAAGACCATTTAATTAGTCTAATACTAGTATCTATAGTGATTCTAGTACTACGTATGCGACTTACAATTAGGCAAACGCCTCCATTGTCATTTGTGATTACTCTATGAAATCAAACCTCATTTGCCGTTCTATAAACAACCAAGGATAGATCTCTCGCGCTTATAAAAACTTCTACTAACGGATTCTGCAGTGGGGAGAGGCAAGAAAAATGATTGATAACCGCCAACCAAATCTCATACAACATAATATTTTTTGTCTTTGAGGGCAACATATGCTCGAATGCATACGCCGTAGTGAATATTCTTTCAATGAGATGTAGCCTGCATCCATATAAGGAAAACCGTATTGTAATTAAATCTCACTCCCTACGCGAGCATAGCACATTGTGAATCGTAAGTACTACATTACTGTTCATGGCCCAAGTACAATTTGGATGAAAGCAAAGAGCGCAGGGTTTACTCATCCCAGATGCATAAAGGTGAACTTCCAGATGTTACATCAGCTTGCATATTTTCAGTAACATTAAACAGGACTTTCTCGATCAGGGCCCGGCGCAGATCGTTTGGAAGGCTGGACTTCGTTTTCGGGCAAAAAGCAAAACGTATATCGTTTTTGTGGGTCCGAAAAAACATAAGTCGTGTTAGGATTTTAGTCGTCGTCGTTTCGAAAATAGTCAAAAGGGACTTCTAAAATTTTGCGAAAATCAGGGGGACTTCATTTTAAAAAAGCCTAGGTGCGAACCATGCCGAGTCCTGTTCTCGATGAGCCACAATAATGGTAAGTGTCCGCTTTGAAAAAAAAAACAAATGGTCACAGAGAATGGTTTTATCAACACTGACCTCAAAAAGTGAAGCATTTTCAAAGAAAAGTCTTGTCAAGATTGATCATAAAAGATTGCACTTACCAAATGGCGGCATTGGGAACCGCGGAGGGAACGCCATTGTTGCACTGCACAGTCAATTCGAGGCGAGAGCGATTCAATGGATTCAATTAGAGCAGATCTGCAAAAACCTCATCAAAAGGGAATGGAGTAGGCCGCGACGTCATTGAGCAGGACGGAACGCTAATGGAGACTCAATAAATCACTACCATGACAGAAGAGATGAAGAGCCACTCAAGGAAAAGATTAAGGGCTAGGGGAAGCAATTTAGAAAATGGTGGTCGAGTAAAAAATCGAAAAACTTTTTGTCATGCCTAAGAAGAGGCTTTCACTGGGTTTATACAGAAAACTTAGGCATTTAATAATAAAATCTGAGAACACGAAAAAGCAACCGCGCTCACAGCACGCGAACACACCAAATGAGAACTGTTTTGTTCAAACAAATTCTGTCCGAAGGTCTCGCGAATTGGCAAAATATTCGAAAACACCACGTACGCGTCAATAGTCTCGTGGAGGTGGGGGAAGCAAATGAAATGGGCAACAACACGTATCCATCGATTTCCGAAGCTTACAAAAAGTACGCTTCGCCGCGTTTGCACAAACCGCAACGCCGACTGGTTCAAAACAGCCCTCATTCAGTTCTAAAAAGAAGTATCTAGTTCAAATCAGCCTCATTCAACACAAACAAAACAATTACTCAGCCGCAAATAGGACTGAACCTGAATAGAACATCTATGAAAGATCTTTGATGCCACTTTCTCAGCAATCTAATCAGTATTTCCAGCGTTTATTTTCACACAAGAAATATCGAGAATGTGGAAATTCAGATTAACACTCATTCCATTAGCGGGAAATATGTTTTTTTGTACAGTCTAAAAAGGCTGCCCTGCCCGCTAATGGAATCAGTCCTTTTCGAATTTATTGCCCTTTCGGACATGAATTTATTGCATCAGCAGGAAATCAAAAACATAAAATACAACTCGAAAGAAGTATCAAAAGATTATACTCTCAAGAGTAACACCATATTCTCATGCGTAGAAATATTGAAGGAAGAGGTGTCTGAATAAATTTGGACATATAAAGTCCGAATCCAGTTGTGTATGTGTCCATAACTTCGATGTGAAAGCAGGTGAAATGATAATGAATTAGCTATGCATAGTACAGGATGTTTTCCGAATTTTAAAAGTCATTCATATTCAGCATAAAGCAACATCAATTTTTCTCCGAAAAAAAAAATTACGCCTTCATGGAGTGACAATCAGATGCATTGAGACAATAGAGAAAACATTCATAATTGCTAACTGCTCTCGCTAATTAGAAGAACATCCCCGGAAGTCTGGCCTGTTCTGGCCATCTGTTAGCTTTCTACACTCTAACAAGGAAGTCGAAAGCGAAGCGGCCAATCCAAACAAACAGCATACCACTGGATCATCATAAAAAGCTGACTCCGAATCTGTCTTCGTTATCTGCTAATCGCCTTTGTGGACGATTTGAACACTCTGTTGCAAGAAAATCGTGCACATAAATTGAGAAATTAGGCTAGTGCCTTTCAAGTTTAATTTTGATCGTACTACAAAAATTCACCTAGCTGTTTTTTGAACCGTATTAGAACAAAACACGGACATGCCCCAATTTGCACTTTATAAGTACGATTTTTTAGAAACTGTTCATAACTTCGTCCACAGAGGCGTTTAGCAAATAAGGAAGACAGACTCGCAGTCAGCGCTTTATGTTTTATGCGGCATCCAATGATAGGCAGCTTATTTGGATTGCGCTTCGCCTAACCATATCCTTGTAAGCTGAATAGCTGAAAGATCTGTCAGACTGTTCAAACATATTTTGACATGAAGCTAGTACACAATCGCATCAACCCCAAGTAATACAAAGCAGTTTGAACAAATCCATTGATTCTCGCTAAAGGGCAATAGGACTGAAACTGCACTATAAAGCAATACGTCTCAAATTCCAGAGATTTCGCAATTGCTGAGGTTGTTGCTTAAGGCGACCATAATGATCACGAAAACGTTACCTGGAGACCATACCTTCGATAGTCTAGAGACAGGGCTTCAAAAGTGAAGGTTGTTTGAACATCTGACGTCATAAATAGTGAAGGTTGTTTAAAGATGATCAGAGAAGAGAAAATGACACAAAACAGATACAAAAAGCAAAAGAAAGTGCTGAAAATAGGATAAAAACGCTGCAATGAGGCTTGAAATCTTTCATTTGGCGGCTTTTCAAAGTGCAAGTTTTCGCTTCAGGGCCAGCAATTCGCAACACGGGGTTTTGATTTTTAATGCGTCCTTTGAATTTTTACCCCCGCATTGACGTTCCTGTTTCCTGGGACGTTGTCTGGATTGTTGCGCTTATTGTTCTGAGCAACAATCGCCCAAGCTGGAAAAAAATCGATGCGAAGGCATTGAAACAGAACAAGGTAAAGAAAAACGCACTTTTTACGATTTTTCGCAAGAAAATCCACAATAATCGAAGAGGTAAAGGCTGGGTGGTTGTCTGCATTATGAACAGAAGCAAGATCTATAGAATGCACGAAAAAACCGGGTAAAAAGAGGTAAACTAGAAGAAAAACAAGAGATTTTCGAAAACAAGGTTTTTGCCGGATTTCTCGTCCAAATCAAGGAATGTGATTTTGGGACGTTGTCAGCGTAAAAATATAGATCAAGAGCTTCAAAATGATATATAGCTTGCTAAAATTGGGTGCGAAACAGCGAAAAAAAGGGTACCAGAGCCAAATGCCCCGCGCCCCGCGTTTGGGGTAGCGAGGTAGAGCGCAGCGCGCGGAGACGCAGACGAGCAGCGGAGACAGACCAGAGCCGACGGGGCATTTGGCTCTGGTCGTAGATCTCCGCGGGGTCTCAACGAAACCCTGTAACATTATATATCATTCTGACTGTCATGACACGACGAGGAGAGCTGACAACGTCCCAAGCTTTAAAAGTCACTCACTAACGAGATAGACCAGCATTTTCGTGCGCGACTCTCTGTGCACAATTAAGCGCAGTTTCTCATTTTAATTCAACTCCAACAGCTTTCCAAACTTTTGAAACTCATTTTTGGTCAAGTGGGAGGCTAAATGAGGAACGTTGTCCTGAATTCTGAGGAAATTTTTACAGAAATCCTCTTTTCAGCGCAAAAAAGGCTTTAAAAAAGCAATTTCTCGGTTTCGCTGAGGCATTCTTCAAACATTCTTTCCTATATTTGGTTCATTCACATTCTTCCGAAGTCAGGATCATAACATCCGGTGCTTCGCCCCGGATAACTTCTGTTTTTTTCCCAGGTGAAGGTTGTGTCCCCTCATAGCCCTCAAAGTGAAGGTTACCAGAGTATGTGGCTCTATGTATCGAGGGTATGTGGAGACTCAATTAGCCTGTATGGTTCACGGTAATCGTCACGAATATCACCGACTTCCTACGGAGAAGTAGAAGTGTGGAAAAAGACACAAAGCTATATAGGCTGAGATTGGCAGATAAGTCCTCTTCTTGGAATACTCGGATTTTCTATTCTAAAAAAGTTTGTTCGTGCAAACCAAGAAGACACTTCCGTACGGCTAAAGTCGTTGGAAAGTTCCTTCTACTGCGCCTCATATTTTCAAGTTTGTTTATTTTCGCCTCAGCACTTAACAACACTACTTATCACTAAGCATCTTCAGACATTCTCACCAGTGAGGTTTGCGCATGATTAACTTTCCAAAATCATTCGATAGAGACTGAAAGAAAGAAGATGAAAGACTTGAAGAATTTTGAGGGAATTTGAAATTTTATAAGGTTTATAAGGTTTGATATACGGCAAGCCCTACCTTATTATATCAATGAGGCTACATATTTTAAAGTTAGAAACACAGACTTTCAACAAATCTATATTAAAAGCGGACTTATCTACAGGAATTCAGGGTATCTACCGTGATTTTCGAAGTCGCCTCGTATAAATGATGAATATGAATGCAATTTCCATGAGCAGCAAATCTTCACTCAACGCTCAAAATTTGTTTGGTATATATGTAACAAACTAGGGAGCTCTTATAACTGGAAATTGACACTAATACAAAATGCCTACGAAGGCACAACTATGCTTTTTTTTCCATCAAAGCCAGTACCCATCGTTGAAGTTCTTTAGCGGTTGACATCAGAATCTCAATGGAGAATGATCAATGACGACTTGATAATTATGGTGAGAAATTGCGGAAGATGAACTGTAAACACCAACAATATATTGAGATTTTACAGGCACAAGAGCAAGACAGAAGAACTGGAAAGAATGAGAGAAGTGCGGATGTAAAAGAGAGGCAAATAAGAAAATGCTAAGCGAATATAAGGACCAAACAAAAGAAAACAAAACGCTGACACCGGCTGGACAGGAATATGAACTGCAAATTGAAAAATGCGAAGGAATCTGGTTTGGAAACCACAAAATGCGGAAATGACGAGGTGCTTGACGATGTGATGCTCGAGAGAAGAAAAAGTCGATAACCGCATATGCGTCAATCCCTGGCGCTGGACCGCCATCGGTTTTTGTAAGTGGCAGATGCTCGAGAGGCAGCAAACGTAAACGCGTTGCGTTCGCATTGGGGCGTTTCAACTGTGGGCTAAACGAGCACTGCCTAAATGCAGCAGTCAATGTGATTGTACTTAATCTTTCCGGATAATTCTTTATTTTGGCATGACAAGGCAAAGCAATGAAGGTTTATAGGAACAATATTTGAAGCTATGAAAGGTACAACACTTCTAGGAAAAAAGTATTTGGACTTCGACATTTGACTCTGTGCATCTGTATCCCACTAAAAAAGGAAGAAAATCTCCAGTAGACCAAGCATTTCTCCTCTACTTTGCGGCGATAGATTATCGACTTCCAAAATTGCTTCCGAAGCGCAGCGGTTGCTGCCTTTCGCCCTCGGTCCACTTGCTCAGGGCACAGTTTTCATGATCAACCGCAACAAGCGCATAGCAATACAACGCAATGGCCGCACATCAACTCGAAGATATCGGCGCTTTTGAAGAGGTGGACGTTGGACATTATCTGGTCAACGTTAAGGTGAGTTCTAGAATTTTGCAAGATTGAAAGTCTGGGTAAATGAACAGTTTTAATGATGCCTTTTAAGTTGAAGGAACTATGCAATTAGAGATGCCTCGACATTTTTAATAAGTTCCTTTGAGCTCTAATGCATTTATTGCATTAGTTTTTGAAAAAAGATAAAAAGTAGAAATTTAAGAATCAACCAGATATTTTATCATTCTCCAAGTTTTTCTCTGCAATAACTTGTCTTAACTCTTTTCTTTTGGCGGGTAGGTGACTAAAATGCAACTTTCCAGAATGAACCTGATCCTACACCACCTCGTCGCCATCCGACTGCAGGCATCAGAAGTCGCTGCCCATATGGCTGCGGAAAGATGATCGCCCTACGCACGATTGATTATCACAGAACCAATGGAGTAAGTGGTACATCAAATTATTAGCTTGTATCAAATTTGCAAATTCTTATGCTCTCAGTCGTGTAAAAATGATTGAGGTTTGTAATTGGTGTCTGGGGCTTCAAAATAAGAGTACTAGTTTGCATCCAGAAGAAGATCACTTGTGCTTTACTTCAAGCAAGTTTGTGAAAATCTCCTTAATGAGGATTATGGATTTCATTGATCAAGTTATGAAGATAATTAAGAAATCAGTTTCGGTGTCTGTATTGTTTTCCGAATCAGTTTAGTACTGTTTTCTGGATTCGATCGAAATATCAGGTAGGGACTCATAGCACGCAAAGACATCGGCGTCTCTCTGATCAAGCCCTCTTCCTTTTCTCTTCCGTCTTCTTTCCCCATGCACGAACTATCTTGGCCAGACGCAACGACGCCTAGTCTTTGCGTGTCATCAATCGTGCATATAATAGCTTGAATAGAATGAATAGGCCCTAGAACTTGTCATCGTAATTATGGCAGTGTTCTCTATTTTGGCAAGTATTCTCAAAATCTAAACAGCTAATTCACCTAAATTTCTGCATTCTCTGCATCTTGGTATTTTTATATGCTTAGGTCGTGTTTTCGTACAAAGAACTCAGTTTATGCTAGTTCATTGCCTTAGGCAAAGTTACAGGTGGACAAACCCTTTGACACACTCATAGCTTGCGTTTTGTACTGACTTTCAAAACTTTTCAATTCTTCAGTGTCGTCCAGGTCAGTCGAAAGATGAAACATTTGGTGATACTAGCAAGAAGCGTTACTACTGCTGTGGAGTGTGCTTCATGGAATTCGTCACAAGGACCGCATTTCACGAGCATTTAAGTATTGAACATGACGTCCATCCAGAAATCAATGAACTAGTGTTTGACAACATCGACGATTTCAAGGTTGTTTATATCTTTCGGTTCTGATCTCAGTTGTTGTCCATGCGTAATTTTGTTTCGTATGTAAACCTACGTGGAATATTTCAGCGCTTTGTTCGTTGGCTCGAACTCAAAGGTGGTGCGCATTTTCGTCACAAATCCGGTTCGAAAAGACGCCAACGTGGGAGAGGGATTTTTATGGCCTGCAACAGGTTCGTCATCCTTCGAAGGATTACTTTCTAAAGCATTTAGCAGTTAAAGAGCATTTTTTTAATCATTGTTACATATCCTGTTTTATTTCCACGCATTAATTTTGAGTATAAAATTCCAATTCTTGTTCCAGTTACACCTGTAAAATTTGTACGCTTTCTTTCTTGTTGACATTTTCATTCTTAACTTACAGGAGTGGTTTTGTAAATTCAAATAGTGCTACGGGAAGTGAACGCGACCGCGTTGGGCCCTATCGCATGGGGCATACATGCACTGCTTACATACATGGAACACAGCATGCAGATGGGTAGGCTCATTAATTTTTCTGAATCCGTCTGAATTTTTAACTGCATCGGAGCTGCTTTTAACGCAAATTAGAAACACATAATTCCTTCAGTCGCGTATCAATCGAGATGTGCGGTGACCACTATGGTCACGATGTTCGGATGAGACTACCGCCCATCATAAAATCAATTATAGCTCAAAAACAGATGGAAGGAGAAAGCAGCGCGGATATCATAGCTTATTTAAGGCGTAAGTTGTGCCTCACCTATGTTTCTCGCGTATTTTTATGGATATATGTTATGACTTCGTTGTTATTTTCTAGAGTTTTATCACCTTCTAGTTTAGATCTATTATTTTTGTTTTAGAACACTTCCTTCCATATGCTGCTGACAATATTTACGCTCAACGAGCTTGCCTTGTTGATCATGAGGAGCTACGTACAATCAGTGTAACGGCCACTAAGAAGTGAACGCTTTTGCGCTCGTTTTCATATCATTTTCTGTGTGATAAATATGATGTTTAGATGGGAAGCTGAAGGTATACCGACTACGTGTGAAATTTGGGAAGAAGAGCTGCTTGACCTCGTTGGTATCGTTAGGGAAGGTGTTCCACGTGTGAGGGAGTTGCATGAGAAGACCACTGAAGAGATTGCTATCGAAGAGGTATGCAGTCCTATCGGTTTGCGCTTTTGCTGCATCTTCGGCGTTCAGAACTGGCCAAAACCTCAAGTATTTACTGCTAAAGTTCGACTCAAAACCGGCGAGTTTGTGCCTGTTGACTCCTTGTCGGATGCGGAACGAATGGGGCGAGAAGTGCAGTATCAGGAGGAACCCAAGGTGGGAGATTTATGTACCCTAAGGTCTACTTACTGTATATTAGTTCCTTCTAGTTGTCGCCAGAAAGCTTTTTGGACGACAGTGAACCTCCAGCAAAGAAAGCGATGCCTACAGATGCTGTAAGGCAGATTGTGGAAAGTCCAGGTACTTCTATCTCTTCGCTTCATGTTGTTTTATTGTTTATAAGTCTTGTACAATATCACTGAAAACTCCTTGGTATATCCAGCTACAATAAAACAATATGAAAGTTCGGTGGAGGAAACCGTGTCTTTTCTAGTACTGCTTGAAGCAAAGATCATTGCTATTATTTTGTGGTGAAAGCTAATAAAGGCGAACACTCGTGGTTTGTTTAAAGTTAGATTCAGTCAGAAATGTTACTTTACGGTTCTGTCTTATTTTTCCGACTAAAATCTCTTGATCTTATATATAAAGCTGAATGTCTGTATGTCTGTCTGTATGTCTGTCTGTCTGTACGTATGTGCGGAATAGAAATTTTATTTCTGAACCGATTTGGACCAAACTTGGCACACATATACTTCGGGGCAGGGAGCGTGTCATAGGCTACTTTTCGTTATCGATCGATATCGATTTTATCGATTTTTTGCAAAATTTGAGCTACGGGGCTGGGAGTTGGCACAGGAGGGTAATCGAGCATGCTGATTACGAATATAATAATGACAGGGCCGGGCGGAGCCGGGTTTGCCAGCTAGTCGGTTTCTATAAAGAACGTATATTTTTGTTTTCAAATTTTTTTGGACATAAAATCTCCAACGATATATTATCTGCAAACGAAGTTATGTAGTGAGACGGACTTATACATTTTTCGACTAATTTCCAAGATTCTTGGTGAAGACTTTTGTTTTTTTGGGGGTTATTATTAAGATCTTCCTGACCTGATGTTGCTGATGACTTTCTAAGTCATCGCTCATTATTGCAGAAGAGTACATTGATGTCGATGGAGTTGTTGAAGTACCTACGACCTCATCGGGCACTCGAGGTACGTATTCTTTTTTATTTTATCTATGTATTACTTATATATTTCGGTTCAGAAAATGTCCAAAGAAGAAATTATGTGCCGAAAGGAACGACAATGTCTAAAGAGGAAGTTTTACAAAAGCTGCTCTATGAAATCGATCTGCTCCGAGATCACGTCATTGTATGTGGGATTTTGTGTATTTTGAGCATTTGTCTTTATTTATTGAGTTGAGAATTCTGCGTCTTCGGTATCTGCGATCAGCCTGCACTATCTGCTATTGCGGGTGAAGGCGTTGCGACCGGTGGTTGAGCAGCCTACATCGTCGCAATACCGGCAAAGTACAGCGAAGTATCGGGAGGGACGGCTTGGTAATTGCTGTTTTCCTTCGTTCAGCACCTAATTTTAGTATATAGGTAATGGCTTGTCAGGCGTTTGTCACACTAACGGTGATCAAGGCACAACTGGCATTTACGATGTAAATCCGTTTTTTTCCTCTATCTATCACTTTTGCATGAATAGATTGTCTATCTAGGTAATGAGCGACGACGAAGATATTGTGTTGTCCAGTGGAGCCCCGCTGCACTTCAATGATTTCATATGGAGGTGATACAACTATGTTTTCTGGTGTGTATGTAAACCAGTATGCCTTATCATTGTGATGTTCGCCATCTTTTCTTATGATCTCATTCTTTTCTTGAAGCTATCACTTACTAATAAATTTTATCAAATTCTTCACATTATGCGTCACTTTATGGTTTATTCCCATCACTTCCTGTTGCTGTGCCGTTTGTTTGAAAGAGAAGGGGAGATTTGAGCTGCGTTTTTTTATGATTTTCAAAAAATTCTATGGCGGTCACTGCAGTAATATGGTGTCAGATTCTGTTTGAAAGGGGAGTGGCGTTAGATAAAAATTTAAATGTGAGTCATATCTCGCAAGTATATTGACATAATTTTGATTTCTCACGGCATGGCATTATTTTTTTTCGAAAATTTGCATCGCTTTTATGCAGTGCTTGCTGACCATGTTGAAGCTTTTTTCGGGAAACTTCCAGTCATAATTGTACTTTATCTCCAAACTTTATCAGCAGAAAGTTAGGATTTACAATGCGTTGAGTTTTTTGATGCTTTACGATTGGGGTACTGAGAATTTTAACATTGCATAGCTTCAATACGTGATAGCAAGTTCTGCAGCAGGAAGAGTCGCTCATGCGGTGCAATTTTATCATATGCGCATATGCGAAAATGGGAATGCGTAGTCTCCTTCGTGCTTTTTGCATTCGCTTGCCCCAACAAAATGATCTTTTTCAATTGTATAGGTAAACAATGGCTGGTGCCTTTCGAAAACTAGTTGGAGATTTTTCTCGACTAATGGTAGGACGATCTCCAGCATTAGTTCAGCTTCATTCTCGTTCTTTGTCCATCAGTCCCTCACTTCTCGACAGTATCAGAGATGCTCATCGAGCAGGAACCAAAATCTCAGGAGCTGCACAGGTGAGTGCCGACGCATTTGATTGGTCGCCTTTTTCCGATTATTTGGCGAGTCGATAACTAGTTCATGAATCCGATCAGAGAAATGTAAATAAAGAAAAAGTGCGTTTAGGAAGTTATGGAAGGCACGGCAGGCGCTGGTCGATTTACAACAGTCAGCACACATGGGTTGGACTCGCGATTCCCAACGGCAGAGACGATGAAAACCGAATTTGATGGAATTCCATATTGCGACTTGCCGATTGTTTACATCAAAGCGACAAAAAATAACACTCTGGTGACAGTTATGGATAAGAAAAATCACGTGATTACCTATACTTCGTGTCGACTGGAAGGTTTCAAGCATGCACGTAAAAAGACCACGATCGCCGGACAAACCACTGGTGTCGCGGCTGGGCAGCGATTAGTGCGAAGAGGCGTGAGAACAGTGAGGGTGCAGGTGCGGTTTCAGCAATTTTTTTCTCCAAATTCAAAAATTTATTTTTGAAGGTCAAAGGACTCGGTCCTGGACGAATGACTTGCGTCAAAGGACTCACAGTAGCTGGTGTACGGGTAGTGAGTATAACAGACCATACCCCGCTCAAAGAGCTGGGCCCTCGACCGCGGAAGATTAGAAGAGTATAGGTAGTTTTTCTTCTAGATGTTGTTATCTAGCGATTGTGTACATTCTTTGTTCGCTGCCTTTTTTTTCTGAGATATTTTTGGAATAAATGTCATATGTCAGAAGAATCGTGATAGCAGAGACACGTACATACTCTCCTCGCACAAGATTAAACAGCGATTAAAGTTCAAATTAACATAATACTGCATTGATCGTGTACGATTCGGTTGTGTTTGTACAGTGGCACCCCAATCGCTGTCTATTTGAACGGCATATTAGTGTGTATTCTACTGAGGAAAGTACTACTGCTATTTTTATTGTTCATGCATGTTTCAAGAGAGAGAATCTGGCGAACCAGAAAGTTGGGGATGTCTGATTTTTATAGTATGGGCGGTATGTGAATTTTTTTTTGTTTTTTAATTTTCTATCTCGCTCGAAGGCTTTCTGAGATGCATTTTGCTGATCTTGGGTCACTAGTGGCAAACCCGTGCAAATGCTCAATGATGTTTCGGAGAAGTTTGTCAGCGGTTGTTTCCTAAGGTTATCACTTAAGTCAAGTTAGAGGAGCCAAGTGGTACACACGAGCGGCTAGGTAGTCGAGTGGATAGGTGAGGAATCCATGGAGTAGCTGGTTCAGGTTTCGTATCCTGTATGAAGCCTTTCTGCAGTTTTTGCAAATTATTCAGTATAAATCCTCAAAAGCTTTCCAGGGCAAACAAACTCTCTTTATAAATCGCTAACTCAACGTAAGTAATGATCCTCAGGAAACAACAGCTTATAACTTCTTCTAGAAGACCATTAAGCAGCTAGGGGACACGGATTTGGTATTAGTTCAAAGCCAGCGGAATGGTATACATTTCAAGTGAGAAGCCCACTTCGACTTTGGGTCCTTTTTCTGAGAATGATTCCTGATATATTACTGACACATAATCTCACATTTTTGTCCCGTCGACCTTCAGCCAAACAGCTTTCAAAGATTAGTGCTGCAAATGATAAAAGTGATAGATACCAACATGCTTTTTCTCAATTTCCCCCTTCCACCCCCTTATTTTGGACGCAAGTCTTGTAGTCGCATATAATCAAAACAGTCGATAAAAGCTAAGTCATCTTCTAAATGATTGTCATATTCTAGCTTTTCTTTGACAATGCAGATGAAGATAAGGTTGTGCGTTATAGAGCCTTACCATATTCCTGACCTCCCTTAGCCTTACGTACCAGTTCCTTCCCCACAAGAAAAGACAAAATTATCAGTTGTGGAAAGAATCTGTGGATTTTTCAAACACTTACTCTCTGTACCTGCCCAATCTCATTTTTTGTATGAGTCCTCTGTCATAAAATTTATTTAAAAAAAAATCAGTAGCAATCTGTGAAGGTAGTTATCGCAGGGTGGTTCGGATCCGATTAAGATGTTATTTTCCAATTGGAAGTTACGAGAATAGAACAACATACGAATACACAAGTAAGGTATGGCCCTTTCAAAGGCCCGAAGTTCGCCGTGAACCTCCGTTTTTGGTAATTTTGACACGATTGCCGGGGTAAAAGCACTTCTCACATCTCAAGAAAAATCTATTTGAAAATATACATGAAGGTGTAGCCCATACACAGCGACCATTATAAACCATACTACCTTTCAAGAGTAAAGGTAACAGAAAAATTGTTTCCTCTCTAAAGTCGGACCATCCACTGCTCACCAAGTGTGGTAGTTACTGAAAATTCTGCAAAAAATTTGTCATTAAGTTTGAAAAAGTTTTAGATACTCTTCAACAATTGGAAGACACCACACAAAAATTCCGGATAATTGTTCAATGGAGCAAAGCTGTTACGTATTAAAGCTATGAAAATTATTTTAATTATCGAATTTTTTCATTCGCTACTGAGGGTTTGAAAATTTACGACATAGTCTGGATTTCCTTTAAAGTAGATAATTTAGATCGGATAAGTTCACTGGTACATAACTCGTCATGCAGAAACCATGATCAAGTGCTGCGAGTTGTCTTTATACTCGCTCTTCTCTTTTGGGTACCTGGAGGAGGGGAAGTACCAAATCAAGTCCCACCCAGATTGTTCTTTGAAACTTCACTTGCGCACAGGGCTCGGCACGAGGTGGCTTACAAGCGAGCTGGATGTCGTTTTTGGGACGAAAAGCAAAGGGGGTTTCGTTTTTGTGACCGAAGAGACACGGAAAATTGGCGACGGCGACCTTTTTTTTTAGTCGACGTTTCGTTTTTTGGGGGATTTTGGGGAATTTTTCAGGTTTTTAGAGGAAATTTGGTTGAGGGTCAAAGGGGACTTCGTAAAAATACCCAAAAGTCAAGGGGGACTTCGTTTTTTGCATTTTCATCTAGCCACCTCGTGCCGAGCCCTGCTTGCGCAAGAAAATGGAAGAGTGATGGTTCCTATTCTAAAGGAGATAGGATACTGCTTTGATTTGCATCAAGAAGTTGACCCTCAAATTTATATGTTAGCGCAGTTTAGCTATTTGGATCCGACCTTAATAACGGATCAGTGGATGAGTATAACCACTCGTAAGCGCTCGCTATATTCGCAGTCAATAAGATTCATACAACTGGTGAGAATTTACACAAGTATAAAATACTTTCTTCTCCTGAGACAATTTCATAATTTGCAACAGATGTTTAGGTGACAATAGCGAATTTCATAGGAGTTATGACAATCCGAATTCTACTCGATAGCGAGGATGAAATAAATGAGCCAATCATAAAAGGTAAGCGCAATGAGGGAGACTCACAGAAATTGTGGTTCCACCACGAGTTTCAGGTGAACTGCGTGAAAGGTTGACTCTCTTCCTGGGAATATTCACAATGACATTCTTTTTTGGCTGCTGGTGTTGTTTCTGTTGTGGATGCATGTTATGCAAGTGAGTGGGATTGCTAACACTAAACAGTGTTTGGCTGTTTTGCTTCATTTGAGCAGAAAATCAAGTTCGCAAATTCATGCCATTGACCAAGAACTCCTTCTTTTTCACTTCAAAAATAGTTTGGGAACAATCTATAATTCAATAAAAATTTTTTGGTTTGTATCAGATCTATTGCGATTTAGATGGATGATTGATTGCCCTGCTTTCTGCAGTAGTCTGATCACATCTGCCTCATTCAAATTTATCTCAACTCATCCATCGCTCGGAAGGCGCCTTCGTAAAGAAGACGGTTGGTTATACAACTTCTTCCATTTCTTTTTTAGGACCAGAGTTAGCTATGCTAGATCGATACCCTTAATTATTGTACCGTATGATGGAAGTTTCTGTTGTAGTAATTGCGAGAACTGGTCCCAAAAGGTGTCTCTGTAGTCCTTCGAGCAACCGAACCTCATGAGGTTTCTCAGAAGACCGCACACCCTATTCCTCTTTCACACTTTTTTTGAAGGAAAAACACAGTGCTTCCGCCATTGTATGACAGTGATTTATTACAGAAGACGATATTATTATTGACGATGTCGTGGTAGCGGCAAGAGGCATCCCTCAACAAAAAATGCATAGAGTGGAGACGGATTTGAATGCATATGAAAATCCAGTGCCATTCGAACAATTTATTGAGGTAAGTATTAACCACTTATTGACGCATGCACATACTTGCTGAAGTGCAAACTTCCAGATAATTCTCGAGTTGTGTCTAATTTTTAGAGATTACCTGGGAAAGGAAATAATGCTGAATTCAAATGTCACGCTCTCAAAGAAAATTTTTTGGAGATGCCTTTTAGAATTTCATAAGCCCAAATTTGCAACCCCTAAATATTTTTCTAACGAACCTATTTTTCTGAAAACTTCGCAACTATTCTGGTTATCGACAATTCTGGGAAAAACTTGGCCATCCTTTTCCAAAAAAATGGAGTGCCCTTGAGATTTTCGTAAGCTTGAATTTGCAACCCCTGAATGGTTGTTCTACGATGCTAATTTTCTAAAAAATTTGAAACTATCTTAGTTATGGACAATTCTGGAAGAATCATTGGCCCTCTTCCCCGGGAGGCGTGCAAGTGTTACCCAGGCAGCCGCCTGGTGCCGCAGCCAGCCGCCAGAGCTGGCACCAAACGCCGCGGCTGAGCTACCGTAAGCGCGCTCTCGTCGTCCGCAATCTCTCGCAGAGAGATTTTCGCAGCAGCCTCGGGGGGGCAGGCGTTATGGAGCAAAGCTACGCCGCATTTCCCTGCGGTATATCCTGAGGGCCATTTGCCTTGCGTCGCTCTTAATTGCGCAGGAGTAGCGAGCCATTCCCTATTACTACGACCTGATATGTCGAAACTGTATAGATGCCGTTAGGAAAACAAAGAAGACGGCAATTTAGAAAACTGAAAAATAAATGAATCTAGGGATGAATGAAGGGCTGAATCTGAGAATCCAATGCTTGATTTGAGCTAAAAATGTTCAAGAGAAGTGGAACACGAGGATTAGTAAAGAAAAAGGATAGAAATTTTCCGTCATGAGTTTCCAAGAGAAATTAACTCACTCATCTTTTACTTTCTTACTTTCTCTTGGCTTGCTTTGCAGACTCTTCCTCCTCATCTCTATATTTGATTCGCCCTTTATCATTCACATTTTGACCTCTTTATCTATGGAGAGTGAGGAAAATGGCTCAATTCGCTCGGCAGCGCTAGCTCCTCTGCGACGCAATTAGGAGCGACGAAACGCAATGGGCCCTCAAGATATACCACAGGCAAATGCGGCGTAGTTTTGCTCCATAACGCGGCGCCGCCGCAGCCTCGCATCGCGCTGAGGTGCGAGAATTCCCTAAGAGGTCGAGCTACTGCCACATATTATATATCGATTAACACAGCGGAAAATTTGTAGTTTATTAGTAATATACATTACAAAAAATATGCAAAAACAAAAAAAAGTTATAAATAAACAACACAAAAAATCACAAATGAAAAACACAATCAAATTTAAAATTTTACATCCGCACTGCTGTCAAATGGTTTTCTCTGTGACAAATTTCGACAATTTTGTGGGCATTTACCTCATTAATTACATCGGAATAATAGATATGAATATTTGGCAACTGAATTTGTAAGAAATCCTCCCCATCCGGTAAAATTCTTCACTCTTCGGGGATGCTGTTCATTTCTATCCTATTTACTTGAGAGGATGCAGCTCTAAAAAAATCCGCAAAAAATCCAAAAATTCAACAATTCACAATTAATCATCAAATGAAAAAAGAAACAAGGAATTACCCAGTAAATGAACACCTTGTGCTTGCATAGCCCGCTCTCACAAAATTACACCTAAGAGAGAAACTCATGCTCTTTGCAAATGTAGCTGAATTGTTTGTTAATGTGTACAGATGAAGAAGATAGAAGCTCAAAATCAAAATCACTCAAAATTTGAATTTATCGTGTAGGGTCATAAAAAATCGGAAACTTGCAATAAAAATTGGAGCAGTCGGTATTGTAGGTTCTTTTACCAGCTCTTTTTAACGGTGAAAAGTTTGCGCCGTTTGAGCGTCTCTATGAAAAGTTATTCCCTGAAAAATGCCAAAATAAATTAAATTTGCCCTTTTGTATTGCTTGCTCAAAAATCATAACTTTTCGTAAAGGCGCTCAATCAGCGTAAACTTTGCGCAATTAGGAAGAGCTGGTGAAATAACCTACAATACCTACTGCTCCGATTTTTGTTGCAAGTTTCCGATTTTTTATGACCCTACACAGAAAATTCAAATTTTGACCAATTTTCTTCTATTGCTCCTATCTGTGCAATATATGATCATTAGTTAGCAGCTAAAACGTCATTATAAAGAGCATGACTTACTCTTTCATATAAAAATAAACGCAGTCAAATCGGTTCAAAAAATTAGAAGTTATGAATTTTTGAAAATGGTGCGAAAGGGCCAACCTAATAATATGTGGCAGTAGCTCGACCTCTGAGGGAATTCTCGCACCTCAGCGCGAGAGGTGCGAGGCTGCTGCGAAAATCTCTCTGCGAGAGATTGCGGACGACGAGAGCGCGCTTACGGTAGCTCAGCCGCGGCGTTGGTGCCAGCTCTGGCGGCTGGCTGCAGCACCAGGCGGCTGCCTGGGTAACACTTGCTCGCACCCCTCTTCCCCCTCCACCTCATAATTGTCTGAAATTTAGCCTCAGAGCCCGTGCAGTTCTAATTATAATCATGTTTTTCTTTTCTGGTCCTCCATTCATAAGCCTTTTTTAGCCCGAAGCGATAACACCAACATCGCTTCCTACGCTTCCTCCGCTGGGACGTTTGCGCTCTCATAGTATTGATGTTTCTTATGAATAAGTGTGAACAAATTGTAATTTTTGCTACTTTATCACACGATCTGTTGTAAATAATTTTCAACTATGAATGTATATATAATTATGATAAAAATACATGGAAAACATGAACAGTTTGTTCTAAAATGATTTTGCATGTCGGTTGTGCAGTGTTACGGAGAAATCCTTTGCTCGAACGCTACCTCCGAAACTTTTCTTAGTGGACGGTATTTTGCCTTGGTAAGGGGAGATCTGAATGAAAGCTATTTTGATTTATGAGAAATCTTTTTTATGGTGCCTGTGGTCCACAAAGTTATCGTGCCTGTGATCATAAGGTACTCAGACAATTCATGGAAATTTCCAGAGGATTACCTGGGAAAGTCCCCATCAAGCTCGGAAACTTCTGCAAATAAGTCGTCGGGAAGTTTGCAGGAAATGGGAACTTCCCCAAGGCTCATTACAGAACTTTCCGAGGGCTTTAGATGGGCTCTGTGTGGCTTTGAGCTGTTATAAACAAGCTCGAAGCAATGACTATTTTCAGTTAGAGACACGGTTATTTCAGTTTCAAATACTACTACACTTGAATCGTTTTCTTTTCACGAATTAAAGAAATTTAGACCGTTTTTGCAAAAAGTTTCCACGTCTTGCCTTCGTTTTTTTAATGTAGAGTTGCAACTATTTGGAAAAACCAATGCCGCGCTCCATTGTTGACAAATTTGCGGGAGCACAAGTGCAGTATGTAAAAATCTAAATGTGCGGACCAACCTCATATTTGTTGAATAAATTAGCAAAGAACAAGAATAGCTCCATCCTTGCTAGACCTTCTCCAGCACACTGACGTTTACCCATGGAAAATGGTACCACTTGCTCAATTTTTACATAAGTTCCATCGCTGTTCAAATGTCTGCTTGGATCAAATTTGTAAGGATCGGGGAAGAACTGCAGGATAGTGACATATAGTATGACTTATCTTTGAAGAGATAAACTTACTTTTTCGTTGTACATAACGGTAGAGATTTGGGGTAAAAACAGAGTTTTTGGTGGTATACGGTAGCCTTGAATCGTTACTTCAGTTGTTGTTTCGCGGAAGACATTCATTGGAAGGAGGTTGGTAAGACGTTGAACTTCCTGAAACGGAGGAAATTTTACTCTTTGTCTCTCCCCTCCTCCCCTCATCTTATCTCTTTTCTATTACTCACATTTGTTCTAAATCAATACGGTAATGTAAAAGTTATAGCACCTACTTGAATCCAATAACTAGCGAAACATTCAATTTTTACAATTTTTACAATGTAGTTCTCATCTTTTCCTCTTCCTTTCAACTCCCCCCCCCCCTCCCCCATTGCAAAAATTTGCCTAATCTGAGTAACTCACGCTGATCACAGCATTCATGTAGTGCAGTTGATTTTTGTCTGAGATGGTAACCAGCCTATCCGATCCGATTTCCTTATCCATCTCTTCATGGATTCTCTTCTGCACTTCGGGATCCTGTAGCAAGTAGCAAACTCCCCAATACAAAGTGTTCGCTGTCGTTTCCATTCCACCCATCCATAAATCGAAACACATGTTGCGAAGTTGATCATTCCTATAAGAACGAAAATTGTGATTTTTTGTACACATTTGTTACAAAAAAAAACTCGAAAATACTAGTTCAGATTAACAGTAGATACTTTGAGAGAGCAAATAAAGGGTAAAAATGGTCAGGGACTTTAAGAGGTGAGTTTCGAAAGTGTTTCTTATGTTTAAAGAATTCAGGAGTGTCTATTCTTAAGTATTTTATGAACTTGTTATTTAAATTTAACAAGAAGCATCCCCACAAGTTCTCAGATGGATCATTGCTAACTTCATCCGCCCCCCCCCCTCCCGATTCCGAATAAATTCTGTTGCCTCCCATTTCTCCCAATTCCGAAAGCTTTGCGATTGTTTTTAGTAAGTAGTTGAAATCAGCATAATTTCACACATCTTGAGCCTAAATAGAGTGAGTAACTTACGAAAATCCTCCAAATTCGGGTTCATCTTCGTGCTTTTTTTGCTCTTTCAAAAAGGCTTCCACATAGTCAGTGCTTCCCTCAGAGTCAAAATCAATTTTTGCTTTATGAGCCTCAATTTGAGAATCGAAGAGATCATATAAGTTTGTTTTCTTCTCCTTAGTCTCTGAAAGCTTCTTCTCACTTCCTGAAGTAGGACCCCAACGGCTCTTACCTCGGTCGTATTTCCAATACCATGGGAGATAGCTTAACCATGGGTAAAACATCCACAATATAAATGCTGGTCTACCGGATATTTCCATCATCTGTTTGACTACAGCTTTGCGATGCAAGAAAATGTCAGTGTTGCTCTGGAATCGATTCTTACCTAGACTTTAGGTAAATAATAGGCCAAAGCTTACTTCATCAAAGCGAAATCCGAACAATAGGCTATTGATGACCGAACCAACGGCAGTGTCAATGAAATCTCGTAGATCCAGTTCTTTTTCAACAAATTTGTCACATTTTCTCAGTAATTCTGTCACTTCGGCAAGGATCTGAAGTTATTTAATATATCACCATCTAGATGTTAGTAGCGGGCTAAAAGGAAGGATCAGAAGATTTTTGAGAAAATAAAAGACTTTCTGCCTGCATGAATCGGTTAAGGAAGTGACTTGTTATGAATTCAAATGATGAAATAATGTGAAAGTACGATGTGGAATGCATTTCCACAAGTATGAAAATTTGAATTATTTTGAAACGTCAAACCCTTTTTCGAATTTTCAAAAGAAGTCTGTATCTGAATTGTAAGATACCCTTTGATTCAATTGGCTTGGCGGCTAGGGGGCGGGGCCTCGTGACCTAATTAAGGCTAGGTAATGATCAGGAGAGACGCAGACTGCGTCGTGGGTGCGAGCGGCCTCAATCTGGTCACAAACCCTCGCCTTTCAGCGGCCAAGCATGTTGAATCACAGGTTATGTGCTTTTTTTCCATTGTATAAAATTATTCTATCAGTTCTATGTGGAAATTCAAATTATTGCGATGAATTTTCGATGCCCCTTTGTTTAAATTCCAGGTTGGTAAGCTTGTTAGAAACTTGGCTCCCCCACTCAAAATTTTTTCGAGAACGCCTGTTCTACATAAATATAATTTCATTCGTAACTTAATGTGTGAGTCTACAGACTCTGCGCGGCAAATGGCTACTACCTCGATAGTGACTTCTCATCAGTGACCTTTTCCAGCGTAAAAATTAGTAAAATTGTGCACTACTAACTAGTAAATATGCAATTAAAGTGAAACTGAGAAGGAAACAAGAAAAAATCAATGGAAATGGACAGGTTCTAAACTTACAGTTCGTCAAGTAGTGCGCATGGTGTGCAATAAGCATTTTAAGTGAATGATTTGAGAATACCTACTCTCTCTTCCATGAGATTCTTTCCCATACCGAAATCTCGCAACACATGTAGAACAAATCTTCGCTGCTGCTGCCATAATGCACCTGTTACCTCTATGATACCGTAATCACCACCTGTAAACATACTGTAGCTTTGCACTATCTAATAAGGAAGTAATTAAAATTTTCTTACCTCTTACCAAGCGTGAAAAAGGATTTTCCATTCTTCCAGTATAAGCAGCACCATCTTTTACTACAGTCTCTTTGAGAAGCTCATAGTCTGTTACAACGATCGCTGGTCTATTGACCATCCAGAACGTAAAACATGGCCCGTATTTCTTGGTCCAAATACGGAAGGCTTCATAGCCTGGTTCATAGAAATACAGAGAGAGGAGATTTCCAGCAATAGGCAAAGGAGTGGGACCTGTATAACATGAACTCAAATTATTCAACTGGCTTGGCAGCTGAAAGCTTTGTGACCTGATCAAGGCCGCTCGCGCCCGCAACGCAGTCTGCGTCTCTCTCGCGCGCGTGCTCTCTGGTCATTATCTAGCGTTAACACGTTGACGACAACGCGCATTTTTAGTTGTTTGCCTTGTGGGACAATGCCTTCCACGAACGAGTCGAAAATTTCTAGCTAAAATCAAGCAGATCGTCATATTAACTATACCTATACAAATTCTTGAAAGCGGCCAAGAAACGTCAAGTTATCCTCTAAAGTTAGAGCGTAAAAGATTTCAGGAAACGGATGTACCCAGTAATTGTTATTATTTCAGAAAAATTTATGCAGTGACCCACCATGTGGGTCACATTGTCCCACGTGGCAGTCATTGCATGACCCACCATGTGGGTCACGTTGTCGTCAATGTGTTAAATAGGCCATGAAGTCCCGCCTCTCAGCCGTCAAGTACCCTTTGAATCAAATGGTACTTCTAAGTTCGAAGCGTTGAAAACAAGCAAACCTGGCGGTAAATTACGTCGTTTCCAGTAAAGATGATAAAAGGCTGTGTAGAGTATCAGGGTAGCAAGTATCAACAAAATCATATCTAAATTCTTCAGAGCCTGAATTTCAAATTTGTCAGCAGTAGTCAACTTAGAAAATTTTCCAATGTATTGGGCTGCCTAATATGTCCACTCGCGTTTTTTGTTTTAGTTTTTTATCAAGATTTTGCGTAGCATCTGCCAAAATGTATATACATTCGAAAGCTCTTTTCTTATATCTTGAAATGTTGTATGAAATATTCGACTAGAAACTGGAACCGAGAGAGCTAAAATTCATTTTCGACACTTGTTACGGCGTTTCAAATGGCTTTGAATGCCAAAAAACAACTCCAGAAATTTGCGATGAGTATTGATAGAATGCTGTACCTCCCGCAAACTACTTATAATTGCTAAAATTTCTAGAAAGTTCATATCACGAGCTAAAAGCTCTAATTTTTTGTCTCTTCGGCGTCAGCCTCAAATATCTGAGGGCACTTTGAAAGAAGATGTTCACCAACAATACGAAATGGCAGACAAGGAGGTCTTTGAACATGAAATAATCGAATCCATGAGTTACTTACTCCAGAATTCAGGTTTCTTGGGGGGGGAGGGCGACACAAGTTAAGTGCGCGAAAGGACAAACGTTTTTGCGGAAAATATTTGCTCCGCTAGTTTTTGCAATGGCATTAAACCGTCAGTGGAAAGAAGTGAGCGAGCAGAAACAGTGGCAATAAGTGCATAAGTATTGGTCTGTTATTTTCAACTGTTGACAGGCTTTCTGAATAATTTTATCAATGCTCAACGGGAAAAGCTAAGAAAAAAATGTCGAAAATAAAATTTTCGCCTTCTCGGATTTTACGGCAAAGTCGAAATTTTTGATCAATTTCTTGAAAGTTGAGAAACAAATGATAGCAGTTGCAACTGGTGAGCAGATATAGATCTTCCGAACGCATACAAACACATCACGCCAAAATGCTTTGCGAAATATTGAGAAAAAACTATATTACACAACCTAATAGATTACTAAGAGTAAAGCTTGAGCAGTTCGCAACGGTGAACATTAGCTAAAATCATTTCATGGAACCAAACTTACAAATTGAGTGATAGTGACAAGTAGTGTAAATATTACATCAATACACACAAAGAAGAGAGACTGATACAGCGCAGAACACAAAGAACTATAACTATTACAATTGCGCACACATGCGACCTGTCAAAATGAATCCATTTATAAATTTGCCCATTTTTTCAAAAAATTTACATCAAGTTGTTCAAAAGTTCAAACAGTCAACATACTTCCCATAGGAATTCTCTGTGATGTGTCAGAAGTCGTTCGATCTACTTGGGAGATTAATCAAAATTTAATCAAGATTCAAGCTTCTCACAAAAGAGTTAGCGACTGCTGTATGGCACGTTGTTATGTAACCAGTGAATCACCTCTGTTTCTCTGCTTCGCAGAGGCTGGCACTGATTCGATTATCTATTTGTCTTTCCGGTGTCGGCTTTGAAACTCAGCATGCGATGCTGGCCATCACGAACTTTTCAAACAACTACGTAGTTTATCTCATGTAAGATCGGTCATTTTTGGAGGAAAAAACTCTCTTGTAGAAGAACAAGTGCGAATCTAAATCAGGGACTGAACCTATTACGGTGATATTCGCCATAAGGAAATGACAACCGTAGGCCATATCTCTAAGCAAAAATCTTATGAAACTTTTAAGTTACTTGACAAATGACCATCCATACATTCATTACATTTTGGCGCTGATTTTGCATAAAAACAGAATTTTTGCTTACTTTTTGGGCTACATATCAAGGCTTGCGCATATACTTGTCAATCAAATCCATAGCTATGCAAAAAGTCGTAAAACAGAATCCTTTTTTCGGCAAAGGTCACATGTATCCCCTTGGGGCGTACTACTCCAAGGATCCGCGGTCCGCTTGTGCTTCGGCATGTTGGACCTGCCTGCGGATGCCATGCATTATGCAAAGGTGGGCTTAGTTCCCTGGCAAGAGGGAGAGAACTTTTGCGGAGTGGAAGGCTCCTCCTATCTGCTGATTCTCCTTCTGCCTTAAATCCTTTTGCGCTGTCTAGTGTTTTTCAAATTCAACATAGCGAATAAGCTCAAGTAAGCAGAAAATCTCAAAATCGGTTTCCTGCCCGGACACTGCCTTGTAGAGGTCGTACACTTACACTTGTAGGAAAGGGCCTCTGTCTTATGGCAGGCCTCCTAACTGAACCTCCGATTAGTTCAAAATCAAATCGCAACGCCGAAAGTTAGAAGATCGCTGCGGAGGTTTTGCGTTGCAACGCTTTACTGCAGAATGGCTAGAGCAACGAATTTAACGATGTTTTGGGTTGTTTTCCCGGACTGGTTTTTTGTAAACGTATTCAAGGGTTGAAGTCGCATGAGGACCAGCTGTCCGCAAATCAAAAATAAGTGCGCTATTCTGCCCCGGGAGGGTCACTCCTAAGTTTTCGCGGGGAGACCCCTCGCAGTATGACAAATATCATGCAGTAGTGGGCAGAGTATCTCAACGACGGTGCACTGGTTGACAAGTGTTTTGATTAGGCTCCAAAAATCACTTTCCACGTACTCTTTGATTCAACGGGAGCGGCGGGAGAAGGGCGGCTTTGGGGCCTAATCAATTTTATTGAAAGAGAGCACCTTCGCGAGTGAGACGCTCTCATGTCTTACTCGCGAGCGACCGCCTTCCACCCGCCACTCCCGATGAATCAAAGGGTACAATATTTTGCGTCCAAAGCTGCCTAGACGCCGTCTTCAAGCGATGAATCAGTCAGGGAGTTTCTTCGCCACAAGGCCAAAATTCCAAACCTTTAATTGCCTGGATCTGTGCCTTCAAACAGAGATCCGTTATGCGCTTTATCGTGAACCAGTACTTAGAAATGTACAAGGAGACATTGCCTTCAAGCAGTCGTGCCTTTCCTACTCTGGGTAAGCCTTCTCCCATTAACGGTTGCGTACTATTTTTTAAACTGTTTGTCACTTTGCTCCTAAGTGACTGGAGCTGCTTCGCTAGTGCAGTTCTCCTCTGTCATCACCAAAACGCTGGAGGAGGCTCAATGGGGTCTTCCTCGTCTTTTTCACTACTCTCCAAAACAATGTAAGCTGCTTTATTGTGCAAGAATAGTATGGACAAGCGATGAGAAAGTAGTCACGCAGCTTCGATACAGGACGTCAAGATTATTTATTCGGCCGCAATCAGCTTCAGCATGGTTTCGCCGGTGATTTCACCAGTAGGTCCACCGCTAGCGAATGGCTTCTTCGGATCTGTTGCATCGTCTGCCACGGATGCGTATTGGATTATCATTTTGTCTGGTCGAGGTTTGCCAGGCTAAAATATGCTTTCTTAGACGCAAACTAATCTTATAAACCTCTGCTTACCCTTCTGGTAATGTCTATATCAACAGTGTAACCAACTTTGATGAGTCCATATAGTTGGCCTTCAGGAACTGAGTAGTTGGAGCCGGGGTTGATTACTACCTGAACTGTGGTCAATTTGTGGCAATCTTCGGTGAATCTCATAGCTTTACATAGGAGCTTACATGGTAAGCAAGCACACGATCGCAATGGTTGACGAGTTTGAACTTCTTGGTTCCGCCGCCTACTCCGATATCACATCTGGACGGATTCGTGCTGAGTTCGTATCCCATAATGGACGTTAGTATAAATAAAAGTGACTTGGAAAGAAGGTTATTTATACTGACCTTGTTTATTTCAACCTTCATATCACATCTGGACTCGATTTAATTCAACTGGAGTTACCTTCTTTATGATTTCCTTTTCTTGAAATGGTGGTGTTATGCGATTTCGTTGAAGAGCTACTTTGAACATTCTCAATGAGATCCACATATAAGATGAAGACGCGAAGATGAAAGGTCTATAGCGATTTAGTACAACATTCGAAGACCTCTCCTTAATTAGACGACCACGAATCATGCCGCTTGTCTCAGACTCATTTTAGAACTCAAACCAAAAAGCTATCCAGTTGTGGATTGATTAATGCTAACTGATCGTAGTTATACAAACTATCTAGTTTTTACTGACAGAAGAAATCCCGAAACACACCCAGAATGAAGGTGCAACAGATCAACGCTTTCAAATATTTGCATGTCATTAAGCAATCTAACAGTCGATGAAAGTACAGTCTATCTTCGTGTCCCTACTGCATGCGGCTGCATTCGCAGCGCAGGAGCCTCGCGTGGTTCCGATTAATGAATGCTCTGTTTGAGTTGAATGCTCGTGAATTTGCTCACCCTTTAGTGGCCAATGCGAGGCGAATTGTCACTAGAAGATGTAGGCTACCAATGTGGTAGAGTGTACACATATTTGTTGGTTGATTATGCAGTAGTGCTGTAATTGCGTCGAGACCAACAGGACGTGGAACAAAGTCATATTTCGTGCGTGTCTGACGAACTGACGATAGCTTACTGTAATCACTTTGAACGGCATCACCTGGTCGAAAACTATTCATCAATCCAAAGCGATTTGCCGATGCGGAATTGCAAAACGACTGAATCCAAATTGTAATTGATGATAGGTGATCAATGTCTGCAGGAGTAATGCTTCTAAGAGACGAACTCTGGAGACAAATTTATGCACGAAATCGAGATCTTGCTTTCACTTGAAGTCCGAGTTAAATTTCTACGGTAACGATAGGAGGGGGATAAGGAGCGTTGAAATTTAATAAAAAGTCCAATGCCTCAAATGCTATTCAATCGAAAACCCGATATTCTGTCATCAGAAACAATAGTTTACTTGGTCAGTTATTCAAATGTGCTAGCTCTATGCATCAGTTGCCCAGCCAACGTGTGGCAAAGTGGGCCTTGTTCCACCTGCTCCAAGAGTAGTGGCGGTTAAACATATGTTCCTTTTTATTAATAAAATCTCAGACGCACATACGTAGCCGCTTTATTGTGTAAATAGTATGGACAGACGATGAGGAAGTATTTAAGCAGCTAGTATAGTGGTCAAGAAAATCTATTCGGCAGCAATCAGCTTCACCATAGTCTCGCCAGTGATTTCACCAACGGGGCCACCGCTTGCAAATGGCTTTTTTGGATCACGACAATCTTGTCCAACAGATGCGTACTGTATTATCATCTTGTCTGGTCGAGGTTTGCCAGGCTGAAAGTCCTTCTCTTAGTCATCTAGAATTTACTCCTTTGTGCCTACCTTCCTTGTAATATCTATGTCGACGGTATAGCCAATCTGTATAAGGCCATAGAGTTGGTTTTCAGGGACTGAGTAATTGGAACCAGGGTTGATCACTATCTGTAACAATGCGAGTCTTTGGCAAACCTCGGTTTTGCATCACAAGGAAGCTCACATGATAAGCAAGCATGCGATCACAGTGGTTGACGAGCTTGTACTTCTTCGTTCCGCCACCAACTCCAATATCACATCTTGACGGATCTGTGCTTAGTTCGAAGCCCATGATCTGCTCTGGTAAAAATGAAACAAACTCCAGAATTACAGCTCTTTATACTGGAGATGTTTACAGCCTTCTTTGATATGCTGATTTTTATGCTTGGAATGCTGTGCATATCATTTCATTTCATTTCATTTCATTTGTACGCTCAAGGCGTTCCATAAAAAAAAGACACATCAAGAAGTTAGTAATACAGCGGAAACGAACAAGACATGTAAACAAATGCAGACATCATCATGTCAGTCCGAGTCTGATCCTAATCAGACTAATGTGAGAAGATAAAGCAGCTTGCACTGAATATGTTGGTAGGCTAATAGATAAGTATGCAGATGTAGGCATGAGATTTATAACTCCAAAACTTTGAATCCATGGAGATGGGACGCATGCCCCCTCGTTGCCAGCGGAACGATCTTTAGTTACTCTTAAAAGCAATCCGGCGGTTTATAAGGCAGGTCTACTGGCTCAGGTATAATAACCATAACCCAACCTAGCCGGAATGCTGGGGAGGCCCAATGACCCCAAAGGTGAAACGATTCTCCTTGGATCCATTTGTTGAAATAGCAAGCTGTACGATTGACTAATAGATAGCTGAACGAAAAAAACTCGGACTGAGATGCTGATGAAACTGTGTTAGTAACTAGAACAAAACGAGTACACCAAAAATAAAAGTTTGACGCAACGTGAGGAGATACACAAGAGGCGTCAAAGAAATAATTTACAGCCACAACTGAACCCGCAAGTCAATGCAAGATCACCGAGCACCTGAAAAGACAGGTTTTAGAGGTAAAATGGAGAAGAAAGGTGATAGAAAACGAAGCCCAAAGCGATTCCATCCGCCATCATAGCACGTCCAAAGCACCCAATGGAAGCCCAAAAGGTCTAATGCAGAAGGCTCGCCCTGTCATGCAACACTAATCAGTATTAGCGATACTTGACAAGTCAAGCCTTCTCAGTCTACTCCTGAAAATATGACTACTCTCTGCACTAGTGGTCTCAACCGGGAGGTGCGAAAGCCACCTAGCCGACCTGTAGAACACGTTGTTGAACATGAGCAAGTATCTCTTGCGCCGGATTCTTGGATATTGCAAGTTAAAAGAGCCTGACCTTTCGCTTGTAGGAACAAAAACCCAGTATTTACTGGCTTTTAGCTTGTTCTCTCTTCTCAGAACTTGAAAACAGAATACAAGATCCAAGAAGGCACGACGGTTTGTTAAGGATTTCATATGAAACCTCTCAAGCCGGGTCTGGTAATCGGGAGGGGTGGTTCCGGGCGATAAACGTCTATACAACAGTCGTGTAAAAAGCTGTTGAACCTTTTCAATTCTGCGAATATCCTTTTTACGAAAAGGGGACCAGACCTGAGAACAGTATTCTAAATGAGGAAGAACTAATGCTTTATAAAGCGGTATAAGTATCTTCGGAGAACTAGCATTAGTATTGCGGAAAAGCAGAAAGAGTGAAGAATAAGCTTTTTCGACTAGCGTATTGATATGCTCAGTGAAGTTAAGATTTGTATCAATCACGACACCCAAATCTCTAACAGTATCACAACTCTTCAATATAGAGCCTTTGATGTGATACGAGGTAGTATTTCCACCTCCAAGATGAAGCACTGAGCATTTGTCAAAATTTAACGCTAATTCCCAGACCTCACTCCAATTGGTCAAATTATCAAGAGACCTTTGCAAGTCCATTTGAATTTCTGGAGCTACTTCCGGATCATAGACTGCAAAGATCTTTATGTCATCAGCATACATCCGGATGTGTACGCTAGCGGAAGTCTTCAAAGTAGAAGGTAGGTCAAGGGTGTAAATCAGGAAAAGCAAGGGGGCTAAGACACCACCCAGTGGAACACCACTAGTGCAGAAATACTTCTTGGAGTAACGATGACCAACTCTCACAGTCATATACCGATCATGCAAATAAGAGGTCAACCATGAAAGAAGATTTCCTTTAATCCCTAATTTGTTCATTTTAGTTAGTAATTTGGCATGACAGACCTTATCAAACGCTTTCGAGAGATCAACATAAACAATGTCAACCGATTTGCCCTCGTTGATTGCTAAGCTCCACTCGAACACACTATCAACCAGATTTGTTGTGGTGGAAGCTCCATTCAAAAAGCCATGTTGTTCATCGGGGATCAAATCCGAAACCTTTAGCCATTCCAAAAGTTTTTCACGTATGATTCTTTCCATGATCTTAACAGGAGTGGGAAGCAAGCTAATCGGACGGAACTTATCAATTCGACACGCTCCGTCAGTTTTTGGAATTGCTGTAACCAAAGCTTCTTTCCACAAGTCAGGGACCTCCCCCCACAACATCGAAATGTTGAATATATGTGCAAGCGGAGCCGCAAGCGACGAGGCGCATTTTAAGTATACTATCTGAGGGATGCCATCAAATGTTTCAGTTATGGAAGGTTTAAGTTTGATAAGGAACTGGTAGACATTTGCGGGATGAAAATGAACATTATTGCAAAAATGGCGAGGCAGCACTGCATCAGCGCCTATTCTGTCAGCATCACTATCACTGTCATTAATAGCGACAGGAGAGTAAACGCTGGCAAAATAGGCACCAAGAGCATCTGCCTTATCTTTATCGCTAACATAGGAGGTACCAGAAGAATTTGTTAAAGTAGAGAAATGTTGGGAGGGCTTCATTTTATTCTTCAAATACGAAAAAAGATATTTAGACGACTTCCTTCTAGCAAGCATTCGTTCACGATATGACAAATATTTTTTTATGTGATAGTCTATATCAGCACAAACTTTTTTATACAATGGGCAACTCAAAGGATTGGGCAGAGTATCAAAAAGACGTTGTTTTTGAGATGTTAAGGCACGAATGTGTGGTGGCAGGTCGATCTTATGAATACCAGAAACTTTGACCCTAATCGGAACAAATTTGCTAAAGGCTTCATAAACTGTTAGGCAAAATCTTTTGTAGACTTCAGAACATGAGGTATAATTATTGAATAAGGAGAGCCAATCTACACTAAAGAAGTAAGAATCAAGAGAGGAATAGTCAACACTGAGAAAATCAGGCAAGGGTAATGTGGAAGCAGAGGAATTCGAAAATTCGATCTCGAAGGTGACAATCCTATGATCCGAGGACCCAAGTGGCTGAAGTGTGCCCACATGCGAGATGAGTGGAAAGGCCGAGAGCACAATGTCGAGAGTATTGCTATCATGAGTCGGTGAGGTCACATATTGCTTTAGTCCCCAGTTGTTTACAAACTCCAGAAAAGGGCAAGAGGCAGCATTGAGGGATTTCTTGGCCATCCAATCAATTTGCAAATTGAAATCTCCGAGTATGATAGTTGGAATGTTCTCAGAAGCAAAATTGCTAAGAATCTCCAGTAATTCATCATCATCATTACTATTCGAATTAGGTGGGCGGTAAACCGTGATAAACTGCATTTGGCACCCTCGGTCAATGTCAAAAACTTTAATTCCGAGTAAATCAGCTTTGATTTCAACGTTCAAATCAACACATGTGGCGAGAAAATGGCTTTTAATAATGCAACAAACTCCACCACCTTTGCGTCTACGTCGATCAGCTCGGTAGATCAAGTATGGTAAACCTCCAACAATTTCAGAATCCAAAATATGAGAATTGAGCCAGGTTTCATTGATAAAAATTAAATCGGGCTTGTGATGGCAGATGAAGCTTTGCAAGAGATGTATTTTGTTGCAGAGACTACGAGCATTAATTAGGCATATTTTAGATAGAGGGAGACCATGCACACCTAAGCGTTTCCCTGAAAAGCGTGAGGAAGCGCGGAGATGTGTACCACTTCATCACGGTAGACTACCCACTCTTTTTTCAATTTACCCCTGTTGCGTTGACGAGCTTCGATTCTGAGCTCGTAATCCCTCTTACGCTCCTCTGGAGTCATACTTTTCCTAACGTACACGTTAGGAAAAGCAGAGCGACGCAACAGCCTGGAATTGGTCAAGGCTGTGCGCCAGTGGGACCTCGATGGCAGCACAACCTTGACCAGCCTTGGCCTAGCGGAGTTGAAGCTGCCCATACGATAGATCTCTACCGGACGGCATTCGACCCTGAGCGCCTCCAGGATATTGCACACCTTTTGCTCAAGATCATGTTGCCTCTCCTGGTAGCCGACATCCCCCTCAGCCTCGCTGACCCCGCTGAAGACCACACTCCGAGCCCTTTTCTCGGCGCTCGGATCAATAGTGGTCACCCCCGACACTTTTTCACAAAGGAGGGCAAGCAACTTGTCAATCAATGGATCACTATTCCTCTCACGTATGCAATCGATCAAATTTTCAATCGACATTTCGCTGAAGTCAGACATGACCGTTTGACTACTAGCATCGGCATAATCCCTTTGGGAAGATGAAGATGGACTAGTAGACGAAGTCTTTTTAGAGGTACGCGTACTTCTGGTCATGACTGATTCAACAAAAAGATTGAAAAATTAAACGATCACAAGAAAATGAGCAGAAATGCAGTGAGCAGCAACGTGTGCTACAAAATCACCAACAAGCAAATAAGAGAAACACCACAGAGGATAAAAAAGGAGAGGAAGGATTGAGAGGAATGATAGGCAGGATATATGATTAGATAGATAATCGACCTACCCCACGCGCGAAAGAGTCACAAAATCGATTGGCAACCACCACAAGTAGGAAGAAGATAAAATTAAACAAAACAAAAATGGCGGAATATGAGAGGGTGGTGCCAGAAACAACAGTGAGAAGAGAGGAAGGAGTGGAAGCGAAAAATGAAGAAGAAACACGACAAAATCAGAAAAAACTACTGAGGAACGAGGGGCGCTGTGACCGCTAAAGGAAATCCGACCGCTCAGCGCGCCGGCAGTGATATGAATGCCGGCGATCATTCCACAATCATCATTACTCTTGTATAGATTTTGACATTGAAGGTCAGTGGTGCTCTCTTCAACTGCCTATGAGTAATTGCATTGGTTGCCTCGTTCTAATTCGGGCTGCATCGTAGTCCACATCATTTTCTGGATTGTGGAAGATTACGGCTACCCTCAAAAGCCTGTCTTTCACCACCCTGACTTCTAGTTGACTATCCTCAGTGAAACAGTGTATCGTATATGGAGTGTTATACAAATATTAACAGAAATTGGTTTTTGTTTGCTAATTTCTAAGCGGTACCTTGTCGAACGAGTATTAGCTAGCAGAAATGCGAGAGAGAACGCTTCGCGAAGGCAGCACGCGAGCAGGATGCGCTTAGACTCTTGACTCCAGAGATTCTGCGGCATGTAACCTGAAATAGGATTCACTGAAAGTATAGCTGCGAAGTAGAATCTAACCGACATTCAGTTATGTTCGTAACGATGAAACGTGGGAGCTGACTGCGGCAAACCTAATTCAACCTAACTTAATCTAATCCAGAGCAACATCTTCCATTTCCTTTACAACGACACTGCAAGGCGGTCAAATGCAACTTGGCGGAGTGGGCGGAAAGAAGAAGAGGCAGGATCTGAACGCATGCAAAAGCCCATTTAACCGGGATTTTATTCCAGATCAAAAAGAAAGAGGAAACCTGATGGCTCCGTAAGTAATATGACGAAAATTATTTCAGTTACCCTAAAGCATTGCTTAAGCTCAGCATTCTTTCTTGCAAACTTTACGATGATTGAACGTCACAAACTTCAAATCTCACATCTAAAGGCCCCATTTCGGACGCTGTAAATTCAGTGACACCTTTTGCTGCCTAGAATGTACGATTAGTGCGTACATGCTACATTTACCTTTTTTGCCTTTTTTGTCTTTTTGTTTGGTTGTAAAGCTAAGCTTGTTTTGCAACGTACAAGTGCTTCTCTAATACAAGCAGCAATTATATCTATGGTCACTAGGTGGCTTTCAATTTTAGATTTAGCACAGTAGCAGGCAAGCCTCGGGGCTTACGCAGGACATCTCAAGTGTTAGGTTCCCTAGCAGCAGCGCCGGACCGGGGAAGGGCCCGCGCTCACCTGGGTAGCTGCAAAATTTCTGAAAGCATTCAGAAATTTTTTTGAACGATGTGGCCAACGTTTTTTACTCGAAAAAAGTTTCTTCCTTTCTTTCCAAAAATATTTCGGACCATCACTAGCTAAGGACTCGCGTCGTGCGGGTGGCCAGCGACGACCTTACAAACGCTCGTTGGTGTGTGCGATTGTACATTCGCCAAGGGTCGGTGATGCGTTTAAAGGCAGTGGCTCGGCAATCTCAACCTAGTCAAATTCTCGCTCACCTGGAGTTTTTCAATACGCCGATCCCGAAAATCCACTTTCGAAAGCTTGAAAACGGCGAAAATAAGCGTTTAATGCCCTTCCCTTTGCAATTGGACGAGTGGAGAAAGGCCGATGACGCTAAATCGTTGCAGGACCCAATGGTTATAGCGTTGCGGTGGGCAGCCTCCAAAGGTGAACAGGAAACTGCCATCTCGCCCAGATGCGTGTAAGATTGGCCTTCGCGTGTACGTTTGAGAGCGATTTTTAGGGGAAAGCATGCTGTGCTTCCGAGAATGCACTATTTTCATACTTGAGCGATAAGGAACCTACCGCGTTAAAATCCTGAGTCGTTGGATTTTGCCGATCCACTGCTTTTGATGCGGGGTGCCCGCACGATTTCTAATGTTCGCTGCTTGCGCGGGGAAGATCGGCCGCTCGCTTGCTGTTGGGGTAATTTTGTATGGGATTGTATTGGACCTTGACCAATGGATATGGTGGTCCTGTACATTCTGGGAACCTAGAGCGATGCCCGCAGTATTGCCCAATTCTTTCATAGCAAAGCTTACACCATTACTTTTGATAACTGTAACCTCACACAGCTTCATTCCAGCCTCGCTGCTGAAGGGAGATGTTGATAATATAATACAACTTGTTAAGCTCAAGGTAGCCTAAACGCTGCATCCGTACCTCTCGCAGGCAGCATTTACGCTCGCAATGTGTGAAATTTAAGAAGAAGATACAGGTCATTGTTGGCCGCTTGTACGGCAATGAGTATTGCCGGCCGATAAGACGGACACATTGCTGACCGCTCTCTCGAGCAAATGCATTGCCTGCCGGTTGTACGGTTTGCTGCCGCTTGAACGGAACTTTAGCTGTCTGCCGCACACACGAAAGCTTCAGGCTTATGTCGACCCCTTCTATGTTAGCCCTTGTAGGAGGACCGCTCGCACGGCGCGAATTCCTGAGAATTAGCACTGATATAATCAACCTCTTTGAACTACAGTAACGAGCCTGCCGTTGTGTGACAAAAAAATTCGTGAATTGTGGAAGTTTGAAGTTTTTTCCTCTGACAACTTTCTTTTTGAACTGCCTGTCTTCCCATAGCGATAAAACTTGAATTAGGACTGCGGATTGGATTTTGCGCATAACCGACAAAAGCGACAAGGAAACGCTTGGATTACAAGGTTTTCATTTTTTTAAATTCTGTATGTTTTGCCCCAATTGCTCTCATTTGTAGTCAACCAAAGTGTACATTGAAGTGATTGCCTCAATAAGCTTAATTTTAGCGTGCCATCCTAGTTTCTCCGGAGAAACAGATCATATATGTAAGTTAGTTTGATCATGCCGTCTGTTTTGCACAAGTAATATGTTTAGATGCCAAAACGAGACATACGCGAACCGTTCCCCGAGTTACAGCTAGAGATTGGCGATGTGCAATTAATGGATGCTCGGAAGGTAGTTCGGAACTGTCTTGTGCATCTCATGTCCCTTTTTGGAACATCTTTCACTTTCGTTTCCTTTATTTTAATTTGCAGTTCTCATTAGCTGTGGCACACAGCAATGCTACACATTGGCGGGAATTCATGAGGATTGGCTTACCATCGGAAAAATTTGTAAATAGAGAATAGTAAGTGAACTTCTGTCCTAGTAGCGAACATATCGGATCAGCTAGTGCTCAAAAATCAAACTGCTACAGTATTTACTCCATATACAATGCCGCTCACAGAACGTGCAAAATTTCCGTGTCAAGGAATACCGGAAATTCGCGATATTCCGTAAACTTTGCGGGATCACGCGAATCACGCAAACTAGCGAACAACGAGGACATTCTGTGCATCGAAAGACTCGCCTTGATGCGCTGAGCAAGTGTTTTTTTTTTAATTTTAGAATATATTCCTTTCGAAATAGGTTATAGCGCTACGTAATTTTGCGTGATTAACGTGATTCGCGAAATTCCCGTGTCGCGGAGGTTCCGGGAATTTTGCGTACTGCCCCGACATTCACGAAAATTTCGCACACTCTGTGAGGGGTATTGTAGGTTGTGAGGGGAGGTATTTTAGTACTTTCGGGACTGGACCGAATGTGCAATGCGTTCTCAAAAAAGCTCAAAATCAAGGTCCATGGATGCTATATAGGGCCAACAATAGAGCAGACGAGGTGAGCGGCATGAAAAGATGCAAGATATTTCTAGCAGAGTGTTTATAGCTGACAGTCTTGGACTACAAAGAAACCAAAATGTATTATTTACAATACATGCATCAAGAGCTTCTTACAGAAGAAAAAGATTCGTCACTGCAGTACATTACCGACTGGCTTAGGTAAACCAAGAAAGTTTTCGCCTGTAATGGCAAGCGCGTTTCTCAAAATATAGCTTTCCCAAAATCAGGAAAGGCGTCGTAATAACATAAGTTTTGATGAAGTGCTCTTGTTTATAGAAGGATGCGCGGCCTGATTCCGGTTAAATTGCCTTGAATAAATTTACAGGTCTTTGCAAAAGTTTGCGTGAAGAGAATATTAGCAAGGATTACCGCAGCGCGCTACTCTGCTGCATGATGTTGCCTACCTGAGAAAATTGCCCTCGAATCGGGGGACGGCTTGGTTTACAGCCTGTTTCCACCCGGAGTAGGCGAAACATTCCAAGCGGACCAGCGCGTCCGCAATGCCACTGGCTCAGCGCGATAGATTAGAATGAAGAGACGCAGACTGTAAGGCCCCGGGCAGACTTCACGCGATTTGATCGTCGCGACTGAGTCGCGACTAGAAAACTGTTACAGCATCATTCCATGCCGATCAACTTGCATTCGGTTGTGATACTTTTCCAGCCCGACATTTTTGAATGTGAAATGAAAATGAATGGAAATCTTGGCGATTAGATCGCGACGACTAACAAGGGAAGTTCGCCAAATCGAAATGGCCGATTGATACGTGGTATATACCCGGACGCGGGGCTCGGAAGGTTAGTATCAAATGTGCGCCCATTAGCTGCGACGCGTTATTGTGAAGCAAGTTATGGCCCTCTAAAGTTTTTGGCGTGTGCATGTCTAGAGAACGCACAAATGCTCCGGTTGTGGTCGTCTGGTGTAGTGGTTAGCGTCTCGGACTCACAGGTGACCAGTGAGGGTTCGAATCCTGTTGCTGTCCACATGTTTTGCGTTCTTCTCAAAAATCATTTTTTACCTGTTTTATGTATTATCAAGGCAAAAAATGACACACACGGGTTACGGGATAATTTTTCTCACGAAAATTCGACCAATGCTTCATATGTAAGATTTTCGTAGAACATAGCAACGACTTTTTAGCGAAGGCTTCTCACTTGACTTTGAAGATTTGCTAAATCCTCACTCCCACATACTTTCTTCGATTGCACGTAGTATTTACGTGACAATCTCCAAGTTGTATCACGTCGTACTATTGATTGTTGCTAATGGGCTACCTTGTGAGAATGACACGGCAGGATCTATAATTAGTAGAGTTTAACCACCCGTATGTGTCATTTTTTACGTCAGCAATGCATAAAACAGGTAAAGAATGAATTTTGAGAAGATCGCAAAACATGTGGACAGCAACAGGATTCGAACCCTCACCGGTCATCTGTGAGTCCGAGACGCTAACCACTACACCACACGACCACAATCGGAGCATTTGTGCGTTCTCTAGACATGCACACGCCAAAAACTTCGGAGGGCCATAACTTGCTTCACAATAACGCGTCGCAGCTAATGGGCGCACATTTAATACTAACCTCCCGAGCCCCGCGTCCGGGTGTATACCACACATCAAGCGGCCATTTCGATTCGGCGAACTTCCCTTGTAAGTCGCGTGAAGTCTGACCGGGGCCTAAAGCGGCGCGAATCGTTGCGAAGCGGGCTTCCGCCAGTCCAATTTCCGCCTAAACTGGGTTGAAACTAATGTACACGAAATCAAGATCTTGCTTTCACTTGAAGTTGCGTGAAACCACCGCATCCGTGTCATGCATGCCATCCAACGCGAAAATATAGGCTGCAGATTGTGCCAACTGCTCCCAACTTTCCAAAGTAAACTTACAGCGACCTTCCTTTTTGAAAAGTGTGTGAAGTACCTGAGTCGTTTACCCAGTTTGAAGCTCGGATTCGAGTTTTACATGACGAGAAAGCTCAAAATATGCGGCAAGATGAAAATGCAGAATTTGCCGAGACAATGCATATAAGCTAAAAGTTTGCAAATATCCACCATTTACAAAAAAAGTTGGCCACACAACAATAACCCGAATGAGAACACGAGACTAGACACGATGGTTATTTTTTGTTGAGACATTTACCGATGGTGTAGACTAAAGTTATAATAAAGCGCTGAGCGTCTGTCTTTTTGTGTGTATGTGTATGTCTGTCACGAAATTTATAGAGGAAGCTGCAGCGAAGCTATCGAGCTGCAAATTTACATAATATACCGTACTAGCATGTAGGTCCACCTTGCACAACAACGAGCCAGTTTGATAAGCAGGCCCTCAAAATTTGCGCGTCTAAGGACCCACGCGGCTTTAGCACACAAAAATAGATCGCTAGTTTGACCTTTCGCAAAGTCATGATTTGCCTGACAAGTATATCTGCGCCCCATAAATTCTAGCCAAAAAGTAACTAAAGTTTGCTTTTCTGCGAAAACAGCGCCAAAAAGAGGTGATCGACCAGATGGGCTTTGACAACTTTTATCTTAGAAAACCGGAAAGATTTTTGCACGGAAATGTAGCCTAAAATAAGTATTATCCTTATGGCGATTACCAAACCAAAATAACTCAGTAATTCACTCAAATTCGCGTTTTTTCTTCCAAAAAAACTTTTCTTTCTCAAATACCGATCTTACATAGAGGTGTTCAAGAATGAACAGTTGTTTACAAATCATTTATGATGTTCAGCATCGCGCGGTGAGTTTCAGAGTCATCATTATGCGAACATGAGAAAGGCTTAGGCTTCCGCCAGAGTGCCGAAGCCATGCCAGCGCTACGCCAGCGCCGAGCCAGCGTTTCGATCGATACACGTGTATTTCGTTAGGGACATCTACCTGCTGAGAACTAGGTCAGCTAGCCCCGCCCCAACGAAATACACGTGTATCGATCGAAACGCTAGCTCGGCGCTGGCGTAGCGCTAGCATGGCTTCGGCACTCTGGCGGGAGCCTTACACATAGCGGAGCCAGTGCGTCATATAGGTGACGCACTGGTAAAAAAATATCACGTGACTCTTCTTTGATCCAGCCTACGATCTAATTCAATCAGATGTTGCAAGATTTTTCAAGTTCTTTGCTGTGTTTCACTAATCGACCCTTTACTAGATTTTGCCCTTTCTGTGGGACCTAGCTGATGTTTGCAGTCAGTCGCATACTCAAGCAATGATAGTCGACCATAAAGGAGGCCTTTTTTGTTGGAAAGTCAAATCGAATGCAATTGTTGTACGGCGTTTCAAACCACATTCCTACTTTACAACGGTGACAAGCTCAAACTTTGTTTAGCATAGCTTACATAATGAGAAACGAATTGGAGCGGCGTCGAAATGGCATCGCAACTTTTGGAAGGGGAAAACGTTTGACAATGACGAATTTCAAGATTTCGCCACTTCAGCATACGCATCGCAAGGCGATAGCGAAAGAGGAGGTCGGTCAATTTATGTTTTGGGATTGAAAAATATTCCTGATACTTAAATCATTACATAGAAAAGTAGCACTGCTACCTTCTAACCTTTGATTCAACTGAATCGCGGCTGAGAGGCGGGCTTTGTAACTTTGTAACCCAATTAAGGCCGATCGCGCCCGCGACACAGTCTGCGTCTCTTTCGCGCGCGCGATCTCTGATCGTTCTCTAGGCCTTAACTAGGTCACGGAGCCCCGCCCTCCAGCCGCAAATCCAGTTGAATCAAAGGGTACTCTTATTATTTCTCAAGCACATGCTTTTTCGAATTAAGTTCATAAAACTTTTTAATTAATCATTGAAGAATTACAGAAAAAGAACTTCAAAATTTGGCCGATGATGATTGCTGAGGCTGCTGATGACATCAAAAAATCTGTACTCAATAGGATCTTGTACTTTGAGAATATACTGAGATTTAGTGGGCACGAAAATTTCAAGGTGAATAAAAGTGCAGATTTGAAGACAATTTAAGTCAAGTTTGTTGAGCACTTCAAAAATCTCAACAAAGACTGGATAGACGAACGTATGAAGTGTGCCGAAATGAACAAACAAGTTATAGTAAAGAAGAACTGTATTAGGTGGTGTTTGAAACGAAATTATGGTTCAATGAAGAGGAAAGCACAATTATTTTCTAGGGCTTTTAATCGAGATCGGCCAATCAAATCTGTTTATCATCTGGCCAGTGAGCTGCACGAATTCACTCCATCTCTGGGACACTCGACATTTCTTTGCAGAGCACTGAAAGATCTAAGCTTGATCATTGGTAAAGAAGAAATTGTGAGGAAGGTCAGTAATTATCAAAAAATCATAGTTTACATTGTAAATAGCATCCACAAATTTTTCCATATAACCGTAAATTATGTTGAAAGTGAATCAAATTTGGAAAATAAATTGAATTGAATATATTGAAATCCATTAGCTGATTAGTTAGTTTACCGAAATTCACGGAAAGAATTTTGAAATGCACATTTTTGTTACCTATTTTATCCACACTATCTGAACATTTTGTGCTTTTTAGAATTGTGCGATGTTTTCCACATTAATGTGAAGTGGAGTGACTTTCTCGTTTGTTTTACATACTGATTTAGGTAGTCAAAAATGCCCGAATACCTTTGCGAGTTCGCCCAACACGGTATGAGTACGGTCCAGGGGCTGTAACTACTTATGAAAGTTCTCGAGGTGGCTATAAATCTCAAAAATTGCTTAATAGTATTTGAGCTACAGATTTTGTGGAGCCGCTGACGATCACCTTTGAGAAATCACCAAAAAGAGCTCCATCTTTGGATACGCTAAGTGGCTTCAGCAGTGAAAGTGCTGCTTCTACTGCCACGGAGGTTAGGGGTCCTGTCCTTCAATATGTACGAATACTATAAATTTAGTCACCCGGGGATTGGCAACATAACTGGAAAATGCAAACTATGCATCATGATATGGAACATCGCCTTATGGACACTAGCATACAAGTCAAAATTCAGTGCCACTCTTCGTTTCCTTTATCTAATATTTAGAATCCATTGGAAGAACAACAGCTGGGTGAACTTGAAGCTTCACAGCGTATTGCCAATGAAGTGGATCGACGTATTGCGATGCTGAAGTGGGTGATGAGTTAAGAAAGCGCAATTTCCCAAAGCAGAGTTATGAACTTCTCATACTTTAGTGGAAAGAAATTTGAAGGAAATTGGTTGATCTTTTCATGTGTACAGCACAATATATACAGCATTCTGATGAAATACAAGATTTTACGATAACATTTTTGAGAAGAATACACGCTTCAGCATTTATCTGCTCGAATCTTAAGTTATATATCAATTAGGTAGAGATTTCCGAAAGAAATCTGATGCTGTAAAAATAACCCAGAAAAATCTCATGGACTAAGTTCAAGATAGTGCAAAAACGCGGATTGGCTTTCTTGATTCTGTAGAAATAAGCGTGGTATTGTATCTACATTATGTTACGCAGACGGAACTTGGATTGCTTGAGTAAGAAGCAGCTAAAAAAACTAATCTACCATCTTTTTTAGAAGCCCCATCTCAAAGGCTAGAAATGTTGAGAGTTCGGGTGATAGCAAACTGAAGTTTTATGTCAGGGTGGTTTATCGTGACACAGACTTATAAATTGACAGCTTCTTCACGCAAAATCATGATTTTCCCTTTGGCAACCTAACTTTTTGTCTTTGAGTTTAGACACTCAGCGTACATTTTAATTTAGTGAGTATCCAAGTTTTGATAACATTGTTGGAGGCAAAAACAGCGAGGTTTTGCAGCTATGTCATAAGTCAGTTTCAACCGAGGTAGGTGGTAAAACATGTTTTGTTTTTGAACATAATTTTTTTTGAAGATGAAATTGCGCCGAGATGTCAGTGTAGCAAAACAACTGCGAAAGAAACTCAAGGAAATCATGACTTTTGCTGAAGATGTCAACGGTAATGATGTGCTTGGTTTACAGGTATGCACGCTTAAAAATTATTGCGTTCAAGAAAAGTTTTATTAGTCAGAATTTCGTTCTCTGCACTGTTAGAGATGGCAGTAATGCGTTCGATTAGCCATTTGGAACAGCTTTACAAAAACAGACTTTTACAAAAGGAGTTTGCTCTTACTAAATGCAAAGAGGAAATTTCACAAATTATTTTTGTTGCTGTTTTATGAGTTTTTTTTGAAAGAGATTTATGGAGACGGATTTCCTACGAGTAGCTGGCTTTACGATTTTTTTGGCCTTGTAATTATGTTTCAAATCAATTCAAAATCTTCAATTAGTTCACGTCCAACACTGTCAGTCATAGATTAGTTTACTTTTATAGAATAAACACTCCAAGTATAAGTTATCATTGTAGATTGCTGACTATCTTTTCAATGAAATACTACGAATGCTTCCAGAAAATGAAAAAGATCCTTATGATGGGTAAGAGTTTTTGTAGACAGTAAAGAAGTTGAAAAAAGTGAATGGCTTGTAGACAGAAAAAACTCTAAAAAAAGCTGTAGAGTTTTTCTATAGATAAACACTGATCATAGAATTGTTGTATAATGACGGATTCTGCCGTAAATATTTCTTCACTGAAAAGCGGCTCTTTTAGGTTGGCGATCAATAATGCCTGGAAAACTCTTATCGACAACAATGTTCTGAAACCAGAGAGTAGGGAAATTCTGAGAACAATGGTGACAGTGATTAAAATGCTGTTTACAGTCAATTGTGACCTACTTGTGCAATTGCACATGACTTGAACTTATCGCGCAACTTTCGCAATTTGGATCAGTTTTCGTTCCTGCAAAGTTAAAATAAAGCTCGGTTTCGAAAAGAGCGCACATTCACAGAAGGATCTAGAAAATATGAGCATTTTAGTAACAAATACGATACGACGCATGCGCATTTTGTGTGCAATCTCACACGTCTTCAGTTTACTGCGAATAGCGGCCAGTTTTTTGTTGTGCCTCGGAAACAAAATACTTGTCGAAACTTTTCGAAGTATGTTAAATGTACGTTTTAGTTTTCTTCTCACCATTCTTGGGTAAGTGCCAGCTGCATCTCGCAGAACTGCATTGTACCACGCTGCGATCAGCTTCCTCATGAACGCATAACTGAAGATGAGGTGAGGAGCAGAATGCCACCGGTCTATTTTCGGATTCAAATTCAATTTTACTTAATGTATTAAACCTTTATAAGCAACCACTGAAAATAAGAAGATTGCTCTAAACTATTCTATCACGATTCTATTACAGTACTCCGCCGTCTCTATTCCGTGGATGCTGCTTTGTGCCGGGATATGCGTCGTTTCAGCCGTGCTGATAGCTATCATGGTTTCCTAAACATCTTTATATTCATAGCTAAAACGTATAAACAACAAAGTATTCTCACGATTATAAATAAATATTAAGCATTTCTTTGCTTAGCATTTGTTATATTCACAACATATTATAGTGGAATTTTTGAATGCCAGAGGAATTGTTCAAAATCAATCAAAGTTACCGACTTCGGATGCACAATTAATAGGGCGGAAATTAGCAAACGATTGAGATGACTATTCATTGAGAAAATACTACGATATTCGCAAAAAAGTGAATGATATTAATCAAGAAGGTTATATTGACGTTTATGATACAATACCACCCGTAATTTGTGAAAAAAAAATGGCGGCGGCACTTAACTTACGCGGCGCTGCCGCAGTTAGGGAGCCTCCAGACCGCGCCGGGACCGCACCGGTTGTCGCTTTTGCAGCCGGTAGCTGCTTTCGCGTCGGTTGCCGCTATTGCAGCTGAAGCGCACTGTGTCAGATCTTGTCCTTGGAGCGTAGCGAGAGCCTATTGGCACTAGATGCTAGGCTTTTCGATTCCTTTGTCATCACTCCTTTGTTTCCAAAGTTCTCTTCTTTGCTGTAGTAAATGATTGCAGATATGGTTTGTTTGATCTGGATTTCGTTTTTTCGATTGTCTACTGCTGGAAAAATCGATTCATTGTTGAGTGAAACCCTTTCACTCCAAATCCCGCTGTAGAGCTATTGCAAGGCAAGGCCTTTTCAACGTCATTCTCGTTTTGGAACTGGTTTACTATGCTGGATGAGAATGTTGCGAATGTACTTTCTTTGTTTTTGGAGTTATTCCATCATGCCGTAGGATCGTAACTACACTATCGTAACTTAGATCAGTAAGTGTACCTTCAAACATAGTAAAGTAGCTTCAAAATTAGAAAGTGCAAAAACAGCGTTTTGCGACGATATCGTCCACTCAGCATAGTGGACCAACCTCAAATTGGAAAAGACATCGAAAAACCTTGCCTGCGCAACCACACAGTAGAGCAATATCATCAAAACGAAAGCTGTGCAAAAAAAACAGCGTTCCGCAAAGATGTACGAGCTCCCCTCCGAGCTCTTGTGCGGAGGCGGGTTGCGGGCTTTCAATGATTTTAATCATAAACTTAACGCGAAAGTACGAAAAACAATGCTGCATGAAGTTCCAACAAGTCCACAGTTACATTCAAGGAAAGTCCGCAACCCGATGACTCCTTGATGGAAGTAACATAGCTTTTACGAAATCATCAACTACCGTAAAAGAATAGCCTGGAAATGAATGAAAGACAAAACGCCGTTCATCACCTTTTTTGCCTAGAAACGGCTCTACATGGAAGGTAGATTAAATACTCGACAATGAGTCGATTACTCCAGCATCGCAGAACCTGCAATGAATACTTACAGAAAGAAGAGGACCTTGGAAACAAAAGAGTTGTGGCAAAAGAATTGAAAAGCTTGGTATTTAATACCAATAGGCCCTTGCGACGCTCCAAGGACAAAATCCGACACGGTGCGCTTTAGCTGCATTAGCGGCAACCGGCGCGAAAGCAGCTACTGGCTGCAAAAACGACAATCGGCGCGGTCCCGGCGCGGTCTGGAAGCTCCCTTAGGTGACAAACGCCGCGTCGCGCGACAAAAGTCGGCGGAAAAGCGGCATTTGTCGCCTAACTTTGTCGCGCAACGCCTAACTTTTTATAAAAAAAGGCCTTATCTTGAATCAAAATTTATGAATTCTATATATAAGAGTAGCATTCAACTCAGCTCGGCGAGGCACGTCTTCCAGTATACAGATGTGCCTAGTTGTGGGATACAAGTTTTTTTCCTGGAATTTTAGTGTAAATGGATCTTTCAGTGTACTGATTCCAGAGGCTACATACACATTGTGTTGAACACTGCAGAAATAGGGCAGGTATAGTTTAAGAGTTCATTCTGCATGGATGTGTGTGAAACTGGGCTTTTCTCGGCGAAGTATGACGGGTCCCAAAATGCAGGAAGACAAAGGGAAGTCGGTTGGAAGTCGCATGAGAAGCACATGTCGCGGAATGCCGCGCGTGCTGTGCAATGTACAATACCACCCACAGAACGGGAATTTCGCGAAATTTCAGAAATTTCGCGATTCCGGAATATCGCAAATTATGCAGCGCCATAACTTCCTTCGGAATGAATATATTCTAAATCCGAAAGCAGCATTGTGTTCAGCTCGTCAAGGCGAATCTTCTACGTACGTCATGTCGCCTATATCTTGTTTTCAGTTTTCTTAAATTTTTCTGAGGGGAGGTCCCTTTGCAAGTATGTAACGCAGCGCCTATGCAACTTGAAAGTTTCCAGTAAGCACCATTCGATAGTGCTCTTCTTGTATATTATAGTGCGCTAGAAAGCTGCCACAGACTTCTTTTCAAAAGAGAAAAAAGCGTTGGTAAAGGAAAAATCACTCGTTTCCAGATTCTACTCGCCGTAACTTTCTTTGGAGTGGATATTTTCTGAATACGGAACATGCATTGTGCTCAGCTCATCAAGGCAAATCTTTCGGTATGCAGAATGTCCTTATATCTCGATTTCAGTATTCTCAAAACTTTCTGCGGGCGTCTATTCGCAAAGGTGTGAAGCAGCGCGTATTGCCCCAGTAGATTCGGAGAGAAATTTTCGATAGTACTTCTTCTGTAGATTATGGGGCGCTAAAAATTAGCCGCACACTTCTTTCCAAAGGAGATGGAAGGGCTGGTGAATTCTGAAAAATCATGTCGTTCTAAATTCTTCTCAACGTAACTCTAAAATATAAAGCTCTCTTGCTAAGCAGATGTGACTTTCGTGATCAGCGGTCGGTTAACCCTTATGAGCAAGTTTTCCAAGATCTTCGAGTAATTTCATTTTTTCTCGTTTTGCGCTCTAAAGCTGGCCGATGAATTTGGTCAAAATGTTCATGCTCTTAAATTGTAAGGAAACTTCGCTTATAGAGGTTTTCGAACACGCTCTTTACGAAAATCAAGGTCTTTGAGGATTACAGGTTTTTTTTGGTGAAATGCGGTGAGGTGACTGTAACTGAATTACGAAAGTGCGTAACTTTGCCCGCACTTCTCGCGTATCTGTCAAAAAACTTGCTTGCTTGCTTGTCCAAGTCAAAGTTAGTAGGGACTCCACTCTACAGAAATAGCCGAGTTACGAGCCTACGAAAAACATCCTCATGAATTTTGCCCAAATGTAAAGATCGCATATTTCGTCGAAATTCCACCGTGAGTGCTTATACGACACTCGCATTGCGGATATTGGTTCGCTTCGCCCAAAGACTCCCACTGTATTGAATATGGTACTTGCGTATGCTTCAGCTGCTCAGTTGAATATCAAAGCTATTTTGGCGGCTAGAACTCAAACTACGAAATCTAACACAATAAGATCCATTAAGGAAGTGAAAAGATTTTGATTAGCGTGTCACACAAGCACTCACGGTGGAATTTCGACGAAATATGCGATCTTTACATTTTGGGCAAAATTTGTGAGGATGTGTTTTCGTAGGCTCGTAACTCGACGATTTTTATAGACCGGAGCCTGAGTTATGCACCATTCGGTAGCACAGTTTCTAGTAACTTTGATGAAAAAAGCAAGCAGGCAAGGTTGCTGACAGATACGCGAGAAGTGCGGGCAAAGTTACGCACTTTCGTAATTCAGTTACAGTCACCTCACCGCATTTCACCAAAAAAAACCTGTAATCCTCAAAGACCTTGATTTTCGTAAAGAGCGTGTTCGAACACCTCTATAAGCGAAGTTTCCTTACAATTTAAGAGCATGAACATTTTGACCAAAATCATCGGCCAGCTTCAGAGCGTAAAACGAGAAAAAATGAAATTACTCGAACATCTTGGAAAACTTGCTCATAAGGGTTAACCGACCTGCTGATCACGAAAGTCACATCTGTTTAGCAAGAGAGCTTCATATTTTAGAGTTACGTTGAGAAGAATTTAGAACGACATGATTTTTCCAGAATTCACCAGCCCTTCTATCTCCTTTGGAAAGAAGTGTGCGGCTAATTTCTAGCGCCCCATAATCTACAGAAGAAGTACTATCGAAAATTTCTCTCTGAATCTACTGGTACGCGCTGCTTCACACCTTTGCGAAGAGACGCCCGCAGTAAGTTTTGAGAATACTGAAATCGAGATATCAAGGACATTCTGCATACCGAAAGATTTGCCTTGATGAGCTGAGCACAATGTATGTTCCGTATTCAGAAAATATCCACTCCAAAGAAAGTTACGGCAAGTAGAATCTGGAAACGAGTGATTTTTCCTTTACCAACGCTTTTTTCTCTTTTGAAAAGAAGTTTGCGGCAGCTTTCTAGCGCACTATAATATACAAGAAGAGCACTATCGAATGGTGCTTACTGGAAACTTTCAAGTTGCATAGGCGCTGCGCTACATACTTGCAAAAGGACCTCCTCAGAAAAATTTA